GCCATGGACGCCAATTTAAGGTCGATGTGGCTGATGGAGAGCTTGAAAAGACGCCGATATCTCGAGCTAAAAGGCCCTACTCTACAGCCTGGCAAATAGTGCATAGCCTAGCCAGAGAGATCATGATGAAACACTTACTCACAACAGTTCAACTTGAGTAAATAATCGAATTCTATTATTTCACAATCTCCCCCTACTGAATACTAGTTACTACTGATTCGTACTTTTGTTTCTTTCTAGGTAGACTAAACTTCTATGGTTAGGTCTCTACTAGAAACTTACCATCTCTACTCTACTTGCCATCTAGTACTTGGGTAGTTGGGTTAGCCGTTAGGGACGGGGTACGGTCGACGGGTCGTACGGTAGAATTTCTGGAGACTGGTTATTCAGTAATGAATCAGCAGGCTACCTATCTAAAATTAAAAAAAAATCAAAAATCCTATTTGGTCTAATCTAGGGTAAACGCGGTATATTCCGACATCGTAGGTAATTCCGTCACCTCTCCAGCTTTTCTCTAAAGGCTTTTTAATAAATATGGCAACATTTTGTGACATTTCATTGTTGCTGACGCGTAGTGAAGTGTTTTGAGAGTCATGTGAAGGCAACAGAACTTACGTAACGCATAGGTACGTTTTTTTTTTATAGTTTTTCATTTCTCGATGCGTCCTTAATGTGTCGGAATATACCGCATTTACCCTAGCATTATTCTAGCTATACCTAAATACTGAACTGATTTCCATTTCTTACTCATAGAAATTTGTTGGTGAAACTGTAAACAATCCTATACCTAATTCTATTTCTTAGTTTGGAATTTGGATCATATAAGTCAATAATAAGTGAAATGCTATGATCGTCACTTCATCAGGCTATGAATATTATTATTTTGTATCAAAATATATAGGCCTACCTTAGCTACCTAATTACCTATAATACAGCACAGGACAATGAGGACGTTGACCAATAACCATACATGAGTAACATGATTAATTTTTCAAACTCCGGTTACAGAGACGATAAAAAATTATGACACAGGCTAACAAGCTAACATACCTATTACCTAGAGCCTAGACTCTAGAGACTTAGAGTTGGCAAATGCTGATTAGGCTAACCTGATTAAATTTATTCATTTTAAACATTTTCATAAAAACTATTTCATGCTTATTTGACGTGAATCTTCCAGATATAAATGGAATTCTGTTTAAAAACATAAAAGAATTGAAATGGAAGGTAAGCTTTTTGTGTATATTAATATAATGGTGACCTATGGCCAGGGCCCAGGGCTATGGCCATGTGGCATGTGTGCTCATGCAATACCTATTACATTAATTGTGGCCTTTCAAACCATAATTTAGATTTCCTACCAGTTTATGAACCTCAAGTTTACTCCTATCTAATTATTACTATTAGCCTAGTTACTAGGTATAAATGTATGAATCATGATCAGGCTGCAAAATTCCAAATGTAGTCAAAATTTTTCACCTGGGAGCTGCAAAATTATAGTAATAAGTAAGAGTATTTTATTTTGGTATTATGAATATTATGATAATTTGATCATTGCCTGACATAATGTAATTGTAATGATTGATGCTTTGATGGTTGTGACAGTATAACACAACCATCAATCACAATCTAGGTATATCTTACAATATCAATAATATGGTTAGCAAAGGCTCCAGTTAACAAAAAAATCAATTAATAACAAAGAATTTTGATTAGATTTACCTCGCTCAGTGAAAAAATTTCACTTAACAAAAAATTAGTGCATCATCAGTCATCACAAAATTGTGCATAGAATGTAGAATTGTTCACTGGGCAACATAGAATGAAAAGTAGCTAACCTAAACTATGATTTTTTTTTCTCAAAAAATATGATGGTTGTCACTAAAATATTCCTTTGTGTTTCAGGTATGTTCTTTATAATCTTTTTTTGATATAGTGAATCACTTGACTTAATTAAAATGGTGCAAAATTACAAGCCATCCTGTAAGCTTACCTTACAGAAGAAATGCTATACATGGCTGCTGATATTAAGTTTGCAGTGGACAAGGTTGTTGTCAGTGCTCAATGGCATGTCCATGGATTAGGTAATATCACTTCAATTATACAGTAATATATGGATATGGTAATATCATATCAATCAAGGAAAAACAAGAAAAATCACAGATAAAGTCATTTATTCTACATCTACATGACTATATCATCAACAAAGGAAGGGGAGGACTTCAGAAGTTCAGAGTACTGTTAGTAATGGATGAGCACACTCTGCATGCTTCGACCATTTTAAAATTGAGTTTTATTTCAAGTGTTCCTTATTACCCCGTTCCTATCATCCTATGGTTAGTTCGGGAGGCTTTTATTTTGCGTCTGGCACCTTACAAATAGCATATGGAATTTTTCCAAAGATGCCATACAATAGCCCTTGCAAATACCTTTAAAATGAGCCCAAACTTGTTTATAAAATGTTTCATGGTGAGAAGTTATTAAGGAAAAACACTCAAAACCATCCCTTATTTCCTGTCTGGTGGCATTTATACCAGACTGATGTGAATAAAGATGTGCTTGCATTTATACTGATTATTGGCATCAGCATGGTTTCACTGGTTTGTCTTGTACGTACATAGGATCACTTTTGGCAGCCAATACTGAAGTTACCAAAGGTCAAGGGCAACACTTGGTGGCTGGCTAGCAATCAGGCAAAAGCCACATGATCTGTGCTGCTGTGCTGGAGATAAAAACACCTGTGCTCTGTGCTGGTCAATTCCACCTATCCCTATTGCCCTTGACTAATTTCTTAAGTAAAAAAATATAAATTAGAAAAGACACATTTATATGGGATTTTTAAAATCATTTGTGAAACTATCTTTTCTACCATATTCATCCTACCCGTTGAAATTAGAATTGACTGGTTTCTAAAAAAATTCTTGTTTGCCACAATCTTTTTCAGTATGTCCAAAAATGTTTCTAGAGCAACTCACCATCAAACAAAAAATTATTTGATAAAGTTTATTTTGTAAGTGTGTACAAGGCTACAAGCAGTGAAAGATACGCACCATTGTTTATGCATTTTGAGGCATAAGCCTGTTATAGGTATATTTACCCTCCATATATTTTAGGCATCCTGCTAATGTTAGGCATAATAATTTTCCATTGAATCAGTTCTCTAGGAATGTTTGATTCATTACGTGAATGAATTTTAGAAGATCAGTTTTTTAAGATGTAGTACATTTTTTGATGTGTGCAGATCCTGGTGTTGGTGTAGTGCACACTTACGAGAGGCATGCCCAGCAGCACACCATGCATGTGCAGCCCAGACAGCAGCCCCGCAGTCCTGATCTCATCCAACTCAGCGATTCTGACAGCAACCTTCCCATTGCTGTAAGTGTTGAGCTATGCAGCTTTTGGTCTAAGCTTAAAATTTGTTTCAATCACTTGTTAAAAGGTTTTAAAATTGTACTGATGTATTTCCTTTGCCATTATTGCCATTATAGTCCTGTGATTTTTATAATTATTCTGATTCAAAGTTTCAAATTCAAAGAAGGATTAACTGGATTGTTGTAGGATTCCACGAGTGTACACTTTACAAGCATTTCTTTTGCTAAATGTTTCCTGATCTTTCAATTTACTATTTTCCTTGTGTAGCCTCCCCACAACTGTGGCTACACAAGAATCACTGCCCAGGAGTTTGAGGCTGAGGACTTCCACACCAATGAGCTCAACAAGAATCACACATCACACTCTCCTAAAGTCCACAGCAGAAAGTCATCAGTGAATGTTCCAGCCAGCCTGAGGGATGAAGACTCTGAAGAGTTGGAAGATTTTGAGCCAAAGTCAAGACAACATCAACATTCTCTGAGACAAAGTAAGCTATGTTATTTTGTCAGTGCTTTGTCTGTGTCAAATTTGGTTAGGACTGAGAGATATTGCAGATATGCAGATTGGTGTTGGGAAATTTCATTGGTAAATACAAATGGTTTTCAAAGTTTATTGATTTTTCAGTGTTTTAATTTGGATTGTATCTATTTTCAACCATTTTACTGACTAGCTTGTAAATTACTACTCATAAAATGGATCCCGGTATTATTTCTTATTGCACTTTTTACATCCAAGTATCTTGTGCTTGATTGAAGATTTGTTGACAACATTCCAAACCCTCAAATATTTCAAATATCACTCTCATTTACTCCGGAAGTAGGGATTAATCACTTTATCATCATCAATACAAATAAAGTACCTACAAAGTTTCATAATTTTTGTATCAAGCAGCTACCAGCGGCAGCAGTGACCCTGGGCTCAGCTCCCCCGGCTCTGTGTCGTCCCCAGGCTCTGACTCGGTGACGCCCACCAACCTCCTACCTCTGCAGGACGGCACTGAACTCCCTGCCCCACACCACCGCTCATCTCACTGGCAGAGACTGGGTCTGTAGGCCATACAATCGTTTGAATTTTTTATTGTTCCTCTTTAAAATACACTGAGCAGTAATAGTATTTATGTTTGATGAAATGAAATTTTATAACTTACAATTGTGTAATTTTTTTTTCTTTTTAAAATACACTGAGCAGTAGTAGTATTTATGCTTGCTGATGAAATTTAATAACTTATTAGCATCGATGTGCTCTCATTTAATGTTTCTGTTGTTCAGTTAATGACGAACACTGCCACCTGCTGGGCACGGAGGAGGACTCGTCTGACCGACACTCCAGTAATGAAGAGGACCGCGATGACGAGGAGCAACTCCTGCACAATGTCCAGGTGTCCATGGAGGGCTTCTCTGTGCTTATATAATCTTCCTCTTTAATTATGTTTACTTTCTAGATCTGAGTTTTATCATTGAATTGCTTCATTTCAATATTAATTCATTTACACTTATCTGATTTATTTCATTTAAATTCAATATATTTGCACAGAACCTTGCCAAAGACTATATTATTATTTTTATTCTGCTGTATAAAAATTAATTGTGGATAATTTTTACAAGTTAATTTGAAGTGTAATTCTATTATTTTGTGTATTGATCTACTTTTACATTGAATGCACGTTTTGTGAAATGAAATATTTTGCTCAATGTCCTCCACATTTGTATGATAGCTGAGAAGCATTCCATAAAACTAGCATGACACCAATTTGACACAAATAAAGCTTACAATTAATCTCTTCGCATGGTGTTTTATATATCTTCTGAAAAAGCAGTTATCTTTTAATTTTGGTAGATGTTAACACACAATTTTCTGATTTGTTTGAGAAATGATGTGTTGGTACCAGGAAGTATGTGAGGATGAACCTGTTGCCAGCCCTGCAGTGAGCAGCGCGACGCTGCGACCAGACAGCGGCAGCACCGTGGGGCCAGACAGCAGCTGCAGCAGCGTCGCTCACGGCATCGCGCTCAAGTGAGAAGCAGTCATGCAATGCACCGTGAAAAATGTAGCATCCTTTGTAGCATACTCTTTCTATTTACTAGCTATTTACTAACCTGACAATTGAGAGCAAGGAATCTGTTCTCATAGCGTGGGTTTTGCGCCCAAGTTTACTGGATATTTTAGTTTAAGTCTATTCAAACATTGAACTTGGTGGTCATTCTCGAAATTAATTGTACTGCAATGCTGCTGGCATTGCTGATCTGGGTGCATCAATTCCTGCTCTTAAATATTAGCCCTAGAGACAGATGTTTTGAATTGTTCCTCTTATGAAGAATCTGTTACAGCAACAGCGCAGCCAACGCTGAAGGCATATGGCGCATTAGCGACGAGCAGCGCTGCTACTACACGCAACAGTTCCAGAGACTGCAGCCTGACCTCACTAAGGTGAATAAACAATTAACTTTTATGCCATAAATCCTAATAAATCAATTGAATCTGATGACCAATGAGTTGATAATTTGATAAGGAAATCAGTTTTAATATGTAAAAATATATGAATTTGTTGAAAAAATTTCAAAATTTAATCAATATTAACCATGCTATATGTTACGGAGTTGGAGTTATCTCTCTCATTACCATTGGCCCAATGAAGGATTTTGCTTCCAATTTTACGAGTAAACTCCTGAGATGTTGGATTGATTGCCAGCAGCTTGGATGATCCAATTGTTATGACGAGATGGCGTCAGTTAACTACTGGCCCAAACGCCTCCTGCGTTATTACCAATCGAATAACAAATATTTATGGAGAAATAACAAGACCGAGGGTCAATAGTAAGATCTAAAGTCAGCAGGGGAGCTTACAACGGACTTTAAATTTGGCTAAACAAAGCCCAAGACCTCGGATATTACACTTACCTGGCACAAATTTATAAACCTGTTTTAAAAATAGGCTGTTGCCTCTGAGAACTTCACGAATGAGTTGTGCAACAATTAAAAATCAATATCAAATGATAAAAATAGCCACTGATAACGGTGATATTTCATCTTTCACACGCATAATCGCATCTGAGATCATTTTGACTGATTCTTTTTGTTACAGGTTGTGCAAGGACAGCAGGCGAAGCTATTCTTCGAGAAGAGCAAACTAGCAACGGACCAGCTGACGCGCATCTGGCACCTCTCAGACGTGACGCAGGACGGCGCGCTGTCCCTGCCTGAGTTCCTGGTGGCGATGCACCTCGTCGTCGCCAGGAGGAACAACGTTCCTCTGCCTACTGCTCTGCCGCAGCCGCTCCTGGCGCTGCTGCTTCCGTCCCTGCAGCCCGTCACGCAGCACCTGCACTCGGGGGCGCAACACCAGCAGCACCCTAAAGAAAACGCCATCGTGAGTCTTAATCTGCTCTTCTTTCTCAAATGAATTCATTTATGTTATCAGTTTGTCATTGTGACTGCAAGCAAGTATCTTTCGACGGCAATGCTTTAGTTATTTTACATATACTGGGACGCATTTGGCACCATATTCGCTCACACTCTGTTGCAATAGAGGATGCAGCCATCTAATATGATTTACCGAAATGGAGAAATGCTACTGCCGCTACATCAAGGAAATAATTCTATTGATCATCTGAAAAAAAAAACGCTCAGCTGTTGGCCTCAAATTTAACTCCTGAACTAGCCCTGGAGCCAACGCCCAGCCTAAACATACACAGCTACACTTAGCTTCAGAGATACAAAGTCGCAGGCTACTCTAGCCTCATGCCACACCAGTTCCAAAATGGCTTAAAGCCATAGTGTCATAAGTCCGCAGCCACTTCTCGAGTCAGTAGAGTCTTAATGAATTTACAACCTCAGCTTGCGCTCACCTCCACACTTACCCCGCCTCTCCACCTGTCTGCAGCTATTTTAGTTAGGTAAGGTCAGGACGAGTTTATTTTGGTGGAGAGTCGGGGTAAGTGTAGAGGATAACGCATGCTGGGGTGTAGGCTCCGTGAAGACTACAAACAGACTTAAGCAGTAGCTGTGGACTTACGGCGCCTATGGCTCTAAATACTTACCTTCATAGGCTACTGTACCCTGTAGCATGCTAGTGCACGGGAAGGTGATGGTGGTGTTGGGTAGTGCTGGCCAGTCATGGGATAAATAAGTTACTAATTATTGTGAAGATGAAACGTGATTTGTGTTGTGGCAATCACTAGCCGTCGTGTGAAATAATTTGCCACCGAGAATAACTTACCGTGTGCGTTTATGGGACGCTTTTTATACCGTATTGTTCATTGCTTTTGGTTTTCAATTTAGACAATAGCTTATTTATATTGGTGATTACGTAATTTTTTGAGTAATAAACTCAAGATTTCCATGTTAGGGCCCGATCAAATTCTTCAGTTTTGGATGTAACTGTTTTGGATAGCTCATTCGTAGCTCAAAATGGGGGTCACCATTATCACTTAGTGATCATTGTTTTAGTCTTTCAAACACGTTTAATACAAATTGAACGAGTTTCATTTGGTAAAATAATTCAATCTTGAACAGTTATCACTCGCTTTTTGGAGTTTAATGCCATTTAAATAAAACTGTCTGAATCTGTTTGCTTGTCGCTAGTAAATTGAAGGCCGTGTGTTCTTTTCCTAACTCACCGCCCTTCCCCATCACTAGTTTTAGCATATTCAAGATTGTATTTGTACACCACTAGTTTATACAAATGTATACATATGTACATCATTCACATTTTATAAATTTTGGTAAAGTCAGAGCAATAATCATTCTTTTTTTTAAATTGATATTGATGTATAATAAGTGAGTGCCCCATGTAGAGAATTACTTATATGATTATTTGTAGGGCCAGCGGCGTGGCAGCAGCAGCAGCAGCAGGTCGTCGGTGGTGAGCTCCATACCCCCGCCCTCGACGGCCGCGCCCTCCCTGCCGCCGTCTGCTGGGGAGCTCTCCGACAAGGAGGTCATCTCCCCATCACGGGTCAAGGAGGTGCGAGGGTCCTTATTATCACTGCAGTCAACTGTTCTTTCTTTAACTCTAGGCCAACTGCAGCTAGGTACAAATGTACCTACACTCGACACGATTACTATTATCATACCGAGTGTAGGTATGATTATAATCATACCGAGTGTAGGTGCGATTATAATCATACCGAGTGTAGGCTCGATTATAATCATACCGAGTGTAGGCTCGATTATAATCATACCGAGTGTAGCTCGATTATTATCATACCGAGTGTAGGCACGATTATTATCATACCGAGTGCAGGTACGATTATAATCATACCGAGTGTAGGTACGATTATAATCATACCGAGTTCAGGTACGATTATTATCATACCGAGTGTAGGCTCGATTATAATCATACCGAGTGCAGGCACGATTATAATCATACCGAGTGCAGGTACGATTATAATCATACCGAGTGTAGGTACGATTATAATCATACCGAGTGCAGGTACGATTATAATCATACCGAGTGTAGGCACGATTATTATCATACCGAGTGTAGGTATGATTATAATCATACCGAGTGTATGTACGATAATAACTTTGCAAAAATATACAGTCAGAAAAAAATTCCATTTGTTGTAGTCGTACTGAAAGTATGCAGTTGACGTTGACTAATTATGCAGATTAGTCATCTCGTGCTGGGTATCATAATATATTTAGTAGTATGCCCTATTTCAAACCTAGTGGCCTCAATTTTTAATATTGAAAGATAGACAAAGATTCCGACTTCACATCTGCTTGAAAGACGACCATTAAAAATGGGAGCATGATACAAAATGTCCTGGTTATGTTTAAAAAATATTTTCCCTATAAAACCCTTTTTCAATCCAAAATGAAGCATGAAATTCTTCACCAAAGAAACTCATATTCGTGATTAATTGAAAAGGCAGCAAGTCATTCGATACGTGTTACCGTGGATGCCCAGCTTGTTGGAATTCGATATGTGTATTATCTGTGCTGTCTCGTCTTCCTTTGTTGGAAGTCTTTTCAAACATACATTGTTGTTCACTTAATATCACTAGATATTTTCTCATACATATATAATAAATACTGTAAATAATCCTCTTGTTAATATTAAGCGTTTCTTCTTCAGCGCCGTTGTAGATTGCGTTATCTTTCAGCTATCTTCTGGAGTCCTACCAACTTCACTTGTTTGTGCCTTGTAAGAATATTATGTTATTTTTGTTCAGCTTATTCTATAGCTCTGTTATATTTACTTCCCCCAGTTTGTCTTCATTTTAACCGAGATTCTTTACGTTTTAACGGCTCTGAGAGAAGAATCTTTGGAATACCTTCCTTCTAGAAATCGGGAAATATGTATAATATTCTCCAAGGTCTAATACAATTATAAAAAACAATATAAGGGGCAAATGTGTGTACTGCAGCGTTGTGTTAAATGTTGCCCGCATTTGTGTTGTCAGTGGACTAAGTTCGTGGACTCGCCGACCTCTAACGTCTCCTCGCCTGGCCTCAAGCCCGTCAATTTTGATTTCCAGCGCAGTGCTGTCGAAGAGGTTCGTCCCGTATAATATCCTCTATTGTATCGCTTAGTGCATGCTCTATCAGTGCAACCTACATTGTACTTTACTATACTAGGTTTGTCTCTATAATTCACATGTTACACTAACATTTCTCCAACCTCATGCTGAGTAAGAACAAAGATTTGTTGTCGTTGCGTTCTTTGACTTCATTCATGTGTCTCTTTTATTTTTGGTGTTATTTTTGTGTACCTTTAATGAAATTCAGGAGAAAAAATTCTCTTTGGCAATTATCCTAACGTACATATCAAGATTTGGGTTTGCCTTGAATGAGGTTAATATGACCTTAATATTTACGTAGGTACATAAAGTCAGCAGCATCATCTTGCATATTAGTGGCAATAAGAGCTTAATTAAAGCGCAATGAATTCAACTTCATCAGTTACCACGTAGAAGACATTCTATACATGATTTATTCTTTAGTCTATGCGCCTGCATGCCGTGTGAAGTCCATGAAAAGCTTAATTATCTCAACTTTATCATTATGTTTACTCTCCTTGGAAACGAATTTACCAGACCACTACTCTGTTAGAGATTTTGGGCCAATAGATATTTATTAATATTACTCTTGAATAATAAAGCTACAGGATATTATCCTAACTATATTTCTTGTATGTTCAGGACCCGCAAATTCTTCACCCAAAAGCTAAGCGGATAACTCCTGAACCTGGCAGGAGTGAGGGCGACAGCGCCGCGTCTTCTGCCGGTCAGTTCTCATTTCAACATGACTAATTTTGATTCAATATTCAATATGTCTAATATAATATACTCTGCCCTCAGCTCACTCACCTATACATTATCACTTAGTATGCTCGTCTTAATGTATCTTGACTCTGCTCTCAGTTATTACGTTAACAGTCATTTTCATTTGCCTAAAGAATCTTCTTCCTCAGTATACATGTAGAGTGACTAATTCACAAGAGGTCACGTGTCTGTCCCATAAAGATGCATGAATGACTTACTAACGCCTCACCAGTGCGTTCCCTCACTTAGGCTCTGTTTAAAACCTTATTTTTATAACTCTGCATTTAAACTACTGTTTTAATCGAGTTAAAAGTCAAACTTTGTATCTACTCTGGTTATTATTCATTGATACGACTCATAAACATTAATAAATATGATATTAATTTTTTTAGTTTTCATATTCAAATGTTAGTAGTGCGATAAGCTAGACTTGCTGAATGAAAGCGGATTAGCTGAAATTAATTCATCAGCGTTATTTCAAAAAAGACAACCTCAGCCACGGCTACACTGGTTGCAAGTAACAGTTTCTGTTTAACATTGTCCAACGTGTGGCTTGCTTGGTCTGCTGTTTACCGAGTGCCGTACTAATGATGTGCTCATGTTGTGCTAGGTACCAGCGCTACTGCAACCTCAGCCACCTACCTCGACCCTAGGTGAGTGTTCCTCACCTGGCGTGGGTGAATGTCTCACATTCCGTGGGTGAATGTCTCACCTAGCGTGGGTGTGAAGGTCTCGCCTAGCGTGGGCTTGAATGTCTTACCTAGCGTGGGTGAATGTCTCGTCTAGCGTGGGTGAATGTCTCACCTAGCGTGGGTAAATGTCTCACCTAGCGTGGGTGAATGTCTCACCTAGCGTGAGTGAATGTCTCACCTAGCTTGGGTGAATGTCTCACCTAGCTTGGGTGAATGTCTCATTAGCGTGGGTGAATGTCTCACCTAGCGTGGGTGAATGTCTCACCTAGCGTGGGTGAATGTCTCACCTAGCGTGGGTGAATGTCTCACCTAGTGTGAGTGAATGTCTCACCTAGCGTGAGTGAATGTCTCAGTTAGCGTGGATGTGAATGTCTCACCTAGCATGGGTGAATGTCTCGCCTAGCGTGGGTGAATGTCTCACCTAGCGTGGATGAATGTCTCACCTAGCCTGGGTGAATGTCTCACCTAGCCTGGGTAATGGTTCACCTAGCGTGGGTGAATGTCTCACCTAGCATGGGTGAATGTCTCACTTAGCGTGGTTGAATGTCTCACCTAGCGTGGGTGAATGTCTCACTTAGCCTGGGTGAATGTCTCACCTAGCGTGGGTGAATGTCTCACCTAGCATGGGTGAATGTCTCACTTAGCGTGGGTGAATGTCTCACTTAGCGTGCGTGGGTGAATGTCTCACTTAGCGTGGGTGAATGTCTCACCCAGCCTGGGGGAATGTCTCACCTAGCCTGGGTGAATGTCTCACCTAGCTCCTAGCGTGGGTGAATGTCTCACCTAGCGTGGGTGAATGTCTCACCTAGCGTGGGTGAAGGTCTCACCTAGCGTGTGTGAAGGTTTCACCTAGCGTGTGTGCCCGCAAGATGCGTGGTGTTCATAATAACTAAAAATTATAATAGTTATTTCTCTTGATGATTCATTAATTCATCCATTACCATTACAAAGTAAACATTTACTCCTCATTGCTTGTTATTATATTTGTGTATCCTATGAACCTTTGTTTTTGTAGCATGTAACATGAAAGATTCAATGTTAAGTTGTATTTAAGTTTGAGTTACGACCAATCAATCAATATTTACTTGTTATTTCTGCCTTACTCACACTCAACATAAACTAACAGTAGTGAGTCTCACTGTAGTTTGCCTCTGCCTTTGGCGAACATGAACTTGCTTTCTAATCATGTCATTGATTGCTTTATTCTATTATTAGTATTTCCTTTACGAGATCTCATGGAGTAAATTGATATTTTCGAACGATTTAAACATGTGATTGTTCATGAAACTTATCCCTCACCTGGCAGTAAAATGCATACATAACTTTTAAATAAGCGAGTTGTGATCTCGAGTTACTTGACTAAAGTGTGTCGCTGGTGCGCAGTCACTTCGGCCCCACGAGCCTCCCCATGGGTGCTGCTAAGAAGGAGCCCCCGCCACCCCCGCCCAGACCTGCCAGAACCCACGCCCGCTCCTCCTCTCTAGACCTTAACAAATTCCGTGAGTGATCCTGCTGCTAATGCCTGGCTTCTTGTTGCCTTTATTCATTCGTTATTTGTTGGATGCTCTGAACTACGATCATAGCACTTACATTAACTCTGGTTTGCTCAGATCCAGATCATACATTGCGTATATTCACCGATTTTTAATATTAGTTTCAGTAAATTTGTAAATTTTGACCAAATTTACACAGCTGGTTGCAAGTATTGAACCCAAAACTCATGGTTCAATTCCGTGTGCTTCGAACTTTAACCTCGCCATTTAGTTAGATCCTTATTACTCTGATTGTGATAGTCTTGCTCTTAAAATAGTGTAGGCACAGAGCGTCGAATTACTGACACTTACTTATTTGTTTAATGCATTAGTGACTCGTGAATTTCTTTTATGCAAAATAACCTACAGTTTATATCATCTATAGGAACAATTTATTAGTCTGCAATTGATGGAGGTAGCAAGAGTTGAGCCTTACGAGCTCGTCTTAATTGGTCTGCCAAGCTGTAAGTGTCATCTCGGGCGCTGACTAGTCCAGTATGTTCATTGTCTTGCGCCCCCATTTAGACTCTCATTTGTTACGCTTGTTGTACCGCTGGTAATAATCTGTTCATGTTAATGAGCTTACCATGTTAATGAGCTGAGCTGACCGCGTTAATGAGTTTTCCACGTTAACCCATTAAAGCCGAGAATTATTTGGGGGACAATTAAATATTTTTTTTCAGTTTGAATACTTCAGTTGGTCATTGTTAATCTATTAAAACATTCATTTTACAAAAATTGTAGATGAATACTAAAATATGGCCTGGCAACTAAAGTTGCCATTCGGCACTAAGATAAAATATATGAATTTCTATGTAATTTATGGTAATAATATAGAATAGGGCTAATAAAACTAAACTTGCTATAGGTAAATTGACGTAATGAAGCAAATATTTAGGAATTATAAATGATTTATCAATTCAGTATTTAAATCATTGATAAACTCATGAGAAAATGGGCCAATAACATTTATAATGGTAAACATCATCGATAACCACTGCTGCATAGGAAGAATAAACATCGTATGGATAACTTTCATGCAACGAGGGTGATGAGCAATAGTGCATAATTTGCATTTGCACACAGTCCTTCCTTTAGTGCGTGACATTTTGCATACTTTGTTTCTCCTTTCACTATCCAGTAGTCTGCTGTAGTTATCAGGACAATATTCTAAGCGGGTCCATGTGATGCAAATTTAGAACCGCTTTACTTCCTATCTGGGCTGACTCTCTATGGTTCCACTAACACCTCTGATGAATTTCAACCACTGAATATTGTTACCGCATGTATTGAAGTGCCTAGAAGCATTTACAGCTCCGGCACTAACTATGGTGGTGGCCCAGAAAAGGGACCACCACAATTTTTCGGAATGAATTTTGAATCGATAAGTTGCTAATTGTTGGTGAAACAAATCAGACCATTAGAGCCTTCTATGAGGCAGTTTAGTTTGTCAAGAGAGGAGCAATACAGGCAGAAATACTCCCATGCTAGCAAAACTGATCTCATTACACTGCAGATTTATTGCTGAGCATATAATTTGCTCTGTTCACATAAATGGTTTAACCATTCGTTAGTAGTTCTAAAGTAATTCATTGCGTCTTATGCAGTACTTTTCTCAGTCAGTGAGTACTGGATAGCATGTCGATCTTCCAAAAGTGAGGTATTGACGAAGTCACGTCATCTTTGCTCTATTTATTAACAATTGAGTTTTGCTTCTTTGAAGGTGGTTTTCCTTTTGTTCGTTATCATCTTGACAAAATGACTCATCAATATATATCTGGGCAAATTATCAGGTTTCCGGGCAACCTTATCATCAAAATCATCTGAATCCATGTATGATTCCATACGAGTATTTTCCTTGGATGGTAAATTGCAAATAAACATCATTGTCATTTTCGTCCTAATCTACCAATATATCGTAAACTTCTGGTAAAGTTCACTTGCATATGAATATATGTAAATATATTTTATAAATATCACTATCAAACTTCATTGAAATATCTTTCTATCAACTGGATGCTAACTTATTGCGTTATAATACATGTAGAACATGAGGTAGCCTTTTATCTCCACATTCATGCAAAAATACAGTTTGCATGTCACCAATGCCGAGTGGCAACTTTAGTTGCCACTCGGCATGATATAGCTTATATTGTCTTTAATGTTAATGATTAATGCCATTTATGAATTTTGTCTGATTACTAGACTCCTAATCCATCATTTCAACACATAAAATTATGAAATCTTGACTTACAAACTATTTTAATGTAGCCTTCTCTGTGTGCCTGTTCAGGCCTGATCAAAAACACAGTGACTGCCTGTAGTTAAAAGGTCAACTGACTGAAGGGAGAGCAACAGAAGTGAACAATTCTTGTTCAGTAATCGTATGGAACATGTATGATGCGGTATAGGACTATAAAACAGAAATTTACTTCATATTATGAATAATACAACCATTTTTTTGAGGTGGCAACTAAAGTTGCCAATAGGCTTTAATGGGTTAATGAGATGTCCACATTAATGAGCTGGCGATGACAGTGTGTGCAGAGCACCGCAGTGCTGCGCTGCCGCTGGGGGCGCCGCCTGCCGTCCCGCCTCGCTGCTCGCCTGGACACGTGAGTTACTGTCGCTAGTTACTGTCACTAGCGTCCCGTCACTAGCGTCCCGTCACTAGCTCACTAGCGCAAAACGCTACTACTGTTTTTATCAAGTTTATGAACTATCGTCTAATTTTGTGAAGTAATTATTTAGCCTTCTGACCTTGGTTCGCATCCCGTCTCATGCAGTAGATCCTTCCCCTCCATTCTTTTTAATTCCCTATTCAATCCCCTCTGTTATTCCTTTTTTATTCCCCCTTCAATCCCCTTCTCCATTCCTCTCTTATTTCCCCTTCCCCCCGCCCATCCCTCCCTCCATCCACTCCTCATTTTGACCTAATATCCTCATCCCTGACCCTCACCCTGCTTCAGCAGGTCACGCCTGGCAAGAAGTTGGTGTATCAGCGCAGCGCAGGCGAAGCGTGCGCTGTGGACGCGACCTGCAGTGGCATGCAGCACCTGCAGAGCAGTAGACTACTACCATCCCTGCAGCACCTGGACGGCATGACGGTGTCTGTAGGAGCGGAGTCTGCAGAACCCCGCCTTCCGTGCCATCAGCCGCTGCAGAGCTGCGTGTCTGACGCTCAACTCATACCGCGCGCTTCCGCCTTCGAAGTCTACAGAAAACCTTCCGCTGGTGAGATATTCGGCGCTTGTTTCGGTTAAACTGATCTTTCGTAGCGAGTCACGTCAGTTGGCTCACTATCCAGCAACTGGTATCATTCTTTCCATTGTTGAATAGTATTTCAATGATGAAAGTATTAACGTGGGCGATTAATGTAAAGGAATCTTATTCGTGCATATTTACGGTGTTTTTCGGTCGCTGCAGATGCAATAACCATCGCCGATCAAGCTGGAGCGAGCGTACTGAGAAACACAGAGGCTGTGGAAGACGCTCATACAGCTGCTTCTACTATTGCTCCTACTGCAGCGACTATAGCTGCTCCTGCTGTTACACCTGTTGCAGCGGCTACTGTTGCTCCTACTGCCGCGCACACGTCGGGATGCTTGCTGCTCAGAGCTGCGAGTGCTGGGTCAGTGACAAGTCCTGGGGCTTACCGATAAATTCTTGATCCCTATTTACCAATATAGTCATTTTCCATCCTTTTTCATCCCAGTTTCCGACAAGCAACCCACTGTTGTGGGGTAATTATCATAATTTACTCGACAAAGATTTTAATTATGGAACTGTACAAGGGAAATGAAACGCGTTGATTGTTAATGTAATTTTTCAGTAAATAATTCGTCAGATCTTCTGTATCATTTAGTCGCTTAACACTATGACAAATATCTGTAAGTTAAACAATATTTGTGAACAATAAGTTACATCCTTTGTTTTAACAATCCAATTTTAATATAGCCTCGCTTCCACCTAGAACAAAGTAAATTTTGACGTGTGTATTTCGAGCCACAGAACGAAAGACAAGAAGGATGTCTACGCGAGCATCAAGACAACGCGCGACCGCAACACCGTCCTCGCCAGACTCAACAACGAACTCAACCAGGAGCTGGCCGAGGTCAGGCCGCGGTTTTGCTGTATTTCCGTTGCATTGTGGCTATAATGCTACACTTATATGATATGCACTTACTGTCTCATGGTGATATCATATACTTGCTCTATTCTGTGACTGATTTATAACTCATAATCTTACGGTTTTGTTGCTTAAACCTATATCGCTTGCTGTTGATGTTCTAATGTTATCTATGCCATGTGCAGGTTATAGAAGAGCGTATAGCATTGGAGATGCAGCTCGAGCAGATGAAGTTGTTCAGTAACTAGCGGTAAGGTCCTGCTCTTCCTCTGCTAGCCCTGTCAGTCATGAGGCAGTGCTGTTAAACTGCTCTTCATATTCAACACTGCCACATGCAACGCTCGTCTTCTTGTTCAACGCTGCCACCAGCCACACTCCAATCTGGTCAAGCACTGCCACGTGTCACGCTGTCCGTCTGGTCATACACTGCCACATGCCACGCTGTCCGCCTGGTCATACACTGCCACATGCCACGCTGTCCGTCTGGTCATACACTGCCACATGCCACGCTGTCCGTCTGGTTCAACGTTGCCGCCCAGAAGTTGCTGCAGTTGCCGTGGGCGGACGGCACACCTCCTATCCTGCCAAGCAATCTCATGGTCTTCTGTAGCAATCATTTCATTCCCGGACCCTCATCTCCGTGGGGTGTTTGAGTACGAATAATCGAATAATAAGTGCACTTTATTTAGGCGTTCGCTCATCTAGATATTTATTGAACTGTTAAGTACGAATGCTCTTTGTTTAGGTATATTGTTGTCTAAGCTGATTATGGATTGCTGTTCTTAAAGTCCTGAACTTTTTCTCAGCTGTCGAATGCCGCAACACCAAAATGTCTGTGCACAAGAAAATGTTGAAACTATATGCGTTTTCAAGTTATAGATTTTCTTATCCATAATATTCTCATCTCCCAACGGCTCATAATGAATACAGATCAAGGGAAAAACGAATAAAATTATAAAATTTGCAAATGAAAGCTCACCTAGCGTCTTTCAGGAGCTGAACGGTTTTGACCGTCACATGTGCAGGTGTTATTTGAACCACAGCAAGTCAATGTGACTCGCCGTTCACAGCAAGGTTTTAAAAACGACAACGTATGAAGTCTAATGTTCCTATTTGCATTAAATTTGTTATTGCACATGCCTCTTCAAAAATCCACGAGAGCTACATTTTTTCTCTGAATTTTCAAGTATGTGAGTTATCTTCTTCCGTCTAAGCGCTTGATTTGGGAAAGTTCTTCTTTCATGAGGGTTTCCATACCATCGAATATATTAGTCTGGGTTAGGATTTCCTAAAGACGCCTGTTTGTTGATATCACAACATCCTTCATGAAACTCCAAACGTGCGTCCCAAATCACCAACGTGAGTGCTTCTTCGCCAACTTTGAATCACTTCGAGTGTAAATTCTTTCGCGATTTTATTGCCTCATTTGTGGTTGAATCAATTTAATACTAATTCTCATTTAAAATATTCTATAAATTTTATGTCTCATGTTTTCGTTTTAGAATGAATGATTTTTACGTCACTTGTCTTGTTATGATATCTGTTGAGTTGAGTATCACCGATTAATCAAGGGATCTAAAATATCAGTAGAGTCTCTCTCTAACCTAATATCAATAACTGCTTTAACCTTCCTAGATACTGCTAATGTCTTTAGTCAATCTCTCGATGTAGCTCTCGTTTATATCATCTTTTTTGCTGATAACGTGTATCAGTATTGACCATAAATTGCTGGAATCTCGCGTGAATGAAGTATTTTCAAGTAGCAAATATTTGCCTATAGCAAGTAGTGCAGACAACGATGATGTCGGCAAGGCTCCGTTCTTGAAGCCTGCCGTCTTGCCGGCTCACTGTTCCTTGCAAGCAATTTCCATTTGACCGAATCGCATTCCCAGTTTTGATAGACAGCCACATTATTTAATGTAACAATTTGCTACGCTTTTCCTTGACATTTCAGGAGTTAGAGCAATTACTAGCTGATAATGTTTAATCGAAATTAGCGTAACTGCCTAAGGATCCTGTTTGAGCATTGTTCAGATTAGGCCTCTGTGTTGCTAGCCCAGCCCTTTGTGACGTTCTTAAACCTGAAAATGTTTTAATTTAGTCAATAATAATATATGTAATGCATACTTATTGTAATTTTAAGATCATTTGACGATCATTATTATATCACCTTGAGGTATACTAATATATAGATAGGATAATCCCGCAGCAAACGGTATTAGTTGAACCGATCACCTAATCTGATACTCAGGATATCGCTCGTAGAGACAATAAAGTCTTGTCTTCCACGACGCAAAGCGTGAGAACCCAGCCATGATACATGAATTCTCTTGCAAAAATTATTGACGCGTTGAAAGTAGATTATAAATGGAACGAATTCTGTTACAGGTAAAGAGTGATGTTGTGTGCTGCAGTGGGTGTGATGTATGCCGGGCAGTGGTTAGGTTGTGACAAGAGCTCTCTAAGACCACATTCGTTGCAATACTGCTTGGGGTGTATGTTACTCTTCAGGTCCTAGGGCCAGCCAGGATCAAGTCTCGAGATATATATTTATCGCAAAATAAAGCCCTTGAATAATAGTGAAACACTCAATGATCTGACTCTACCTCCACTCGTCCTAGGCCCGCTAGTGTTGCTCTAGAGTATAGATTAACTCGATATCACCGATCGTTTCGGTGACCACAATAATAACAGACTAACAATAGCTTCCGCCCGCTTGCCTCCGATGACGTGCGGTGTTTGGTTGTTGGTTTCACTCACGTTAGTTTGCTCTATGCTTAAGCTTTAATTTATCATCTTTCTTGATTGCACCTTCTCTCCTCGTCACCAAGTTCTGATTTCGTTAAGTTAGTTCTACTCAAGGTCAAAGTTGGGCGAGGTCACGTTCCTCATGATGGTCGTTGTTTGGGGTACACGCCCCCCCACACGTGCCTTTATTATTAATGTTATTGTTCTTAACCTAGTATTATTTTGCAAGACATTCCTGAGGAGGTATTATGTCTGCACTGTGTAATGATTTCTTAGCTCGTAATAAATCCTACGAAAGCTTTTAATGTTGACTCATACATAGTGATTAGAAGCAGCGTTTTATTATTGTACGCTTTGGAAGGTAACATTTTAACAGTGGCCTGTATTATTGCTAATTATTTACGTGTGGGCATTTTTTAAACATTTTTTGTGAAGATTATCGGAGCAATCTCGTTGTACAATAGTGTAAAGAAACTTGTTATATGTGCGAGCTTGTACTAAAGAGTATATTAGAATATAACTTCTAGACCTCATCGTCTTATTTGTTTATCCTCTACAAGACACGGGTCTTCTCGCTAAATTTCTCCATTTTGTAAACCGCAAAAGTATATTCCAAAAAATTCGAAAAGTAATTCCTTATCCTGAAATAGAAAAGACGAAGAATTTTACTCTCGAATGCGTTTTCATCATACATAGTGTTATTACTACCGTACATCGTGTTTCTTGTCTGTATTGTGCAGAGAACTTATCGCGAGACCGACGCGTCGCCATGGCAACAAACAAGCATCATGGCGCTGGACAGGAAACTCGCTGAGATCTTCGCAATTTTCCAGGATAAAGATAAGAACACCGTACATGTCAAGGATTTGTCCACTATCCTGCGAGCTCTCGGTAGGTCTGCATTACCTTTACTAGCTTTGCTGCTTATAATCATTAGTGCACTCGGAAATCAGTAGAATATTTGGGCGAAAAATATTAGTAGATTGCTATTTCAACTCGGTCAAAAATTTTTGGATTTAGCCGTTCTTATAGGTTGTTGGAAGTCCGTCGTTACTGCGTATGTGGGAAGTGAAGCTTGCATCGAAGGAAGTGAAGCATTTACTTTAAAAATTAAATCGCAAACATTGAAGATAAATTTTAACTTCATTGCCCGTCAAATTTCACTCGTTGCATGTCCAAGTGAGTTTATGGCTGAGTGTCGAGCGTGTAGCCGCAACGTGAAGGCCCATGTGGTCTCTAAACGAACGTTCGTGATATTGTCCTGAGTGTGTACGGGTAGACGCAACATGATGATGCGTGTAGAATAGATCATGATCATTCAGGGCTGGTGCCGAGCGAGGCGGAGGCAGCGAAGGCCGTACAGGCGATGGTTGGCGAGGAGGCCGCTGACGCCGTACATCTGGCAGCCTTCCTCACCGGCGCCAAGAACCTCGTGCTGGAACGCAAGTATGACAACATCGTATATCTCTCCTTCAATCTGCTTTTATTTCATAATTTTTAATTTGTCAAGTGGCCATGGAACTGGTCTCTGAAACGTTTCCAATGAAAATATGGTGAATTTATGTAGCATATCCTTCGGTGCTGTATTCCTAGTTTTTTTTTAATATTTGACGATTATTTTACGATTTAGATATTATTAGCATAATACTTGCACACATGCACGCATAAATCAGGAATTTCCTGCTCCATCTGTAGGTTCTCGGGATGCAGTAAGGGCGAACTGGTCGCTGCTTTGGAGGTTCTGGCGCGTGAAGGACGCAGCCACCTGCAGCAGGTGCTGCAGCAGCAGCAGCTGGTCGTCGAACCTGAGAGCGGAGTGCCCAGCTACGGTGGCGACGGCATCACCAAAGTAAGCCGAGTTCCTGCTTTATTCTTGGTCCATTGAGTCGTGATAGGCTAAGGTGCGTGCTGGAGACCAGTGATATCTAACTCCACACTTCACTGATACACGTGCTGCACTTCACATCTCTGTCTTTTGTCAGCACGCTACAGGGCCATGTAGCGTATGAAGTTTAGTGCCCCAGCCACTGCTCAAACCTGCCCCACTTCACATGATAAATGCCCACATGGCCCTACCTTCTGCATACAATATACGGATTCTACCACCTCCTTTCAAACATAAAACGCACTCTATACCTCACCTTTGTTAGGTTAATCCCCACGCTCCCCCACTTCAACCCTGTACAAACGGCACAGCGGACTGTGCTGTACTCGGACGGCAGTTGTTCCCATCACGCTTGGGTGTAGCTGGTCCCAAAACCACACATATCATCCAATACACTATCACGCTGACGGACTGACGCGACTCACCGAGACGCGACAAAGAGATCGAAAACCCAGTACGAAATAAACCAATTACCTTTCTACCTCCCTCCAAATCTCGAGCGACTCTGTCCACCGCCTTAACTTCTGTCAGCATCAATCATCACCTCCTCTTCTCATCATATCAATTGAGAAAATAGAAATAAATATATAAAACGAAAAATAAGCTAGATTGCCTGTAAATAGTGGGAGCACGCATCATTTTTATTTATTTTTAACTCTGCTCAAAAACTGCAAATAGTGCAAATAAATAACCACCACCTCCCCATCACCCACTCACTTGAACCATCCAAAGCCCTGACGGGTTCTCAACCTTTTCCCAACCCCAAACTAAGCCCACTCACCTATAACCCACCCAATCATGCACAGTGCGCCTTTTTCATCTCCTATTGTCTTATCCATTTCTTATTCTTCTTTCCGGCCACTCTGCGCCGCCTCTTGTTCTCTTTCACATCTAGCCTAGTGGCCTCGCAACAACAGGGAAGCGAGTTCGATGCAATACATCATGATAAGAGTTCATAATTTTCGACTTACGTGTTTAAAAGTTTCCAGTATTACTTTTTGTTTGCTGTTGGTATAAAAATGTCGCACTTGGAACGAGTACGATCAAGCGGATTGATCGTAAGCTTGAATCAATCGATTGATGCGCGCTTCAATCAACCTCAATCAGGCCTCCAATCTTTTAATCAAAACCTCTTTCTCTTAAAAAACTAAACCAGTTCACATTTTTTTTTCGCTGGTGGTTGCTTTTTGAGCTGCTGCGTTGATTCTGATTGTAAGCAATGGTTACGACTTCCAAAAATGTGCGTATCTTTCTATCAACCAATTTCGTCCGTCTAACTTTACGAGTATATCAATCGTCATCTGGCATCGCCTCAAGATGATTAGAGTAGGAATTACGAATGTTAATTAGGGTGTGATTTGGGGGAGCATGCGAATAGCAAGATATAGGGAGAAGTGGTTGTTCCTGTTCATGGGGAGAAAACTCTGGATTATTTAGGGTAAAATCAAATCGACGCTACGTTGCGGGTTGTGGGTTATCTAAGTAGCTGGGCGTGCGTCATGCAGGAGGCAGTCTAGAGCCAGGCGGTAGGTCTTGAGCCTGCGAGCCCACTGAGCAGCCGCGGTGTAGTTGTTTGTAGCTGACGACATGACCAAGTTGGTGGTCAGTGTAGTTTTCATGTGCGAGACACAACTGCCAAGAAAATCATATACGAAAGTGAATGACGGCACACAATTTTTTAGAGAATCTGCTATCAGCTCTCGCCGTTGTAAGAAAGATTGGTGACCAGCGTAAGACCGAAGATGGGATCACGAAGAGACCCACAAACATCTAGTATATGCTTTGGAGCGAAGGATTGTAGAGAATGAAACAGCTGATGAGTTGGAAATCGATGACGAAACGACCGTCTTCAGAAAATCTTCTATCAGCTCTCGCCATAGTAAAAGGGGGCGCTAAACCAAGGAGTCACGAAGATCCCGCGAGGCCATCTATTAACAATAACTACGGCGGAACAAGTTACGGAGAAGTCAATCAGCCCTCAGTGTCCGGTTCTCTGTCCCTGGATGTCTCTGTTCACTGGTGTCTCTATCCTAAACCCGGTGATGTACCAGTTTAGGGAAACTCGAGTTAGACAGTTCTTTTATATCTGAAGAGAAGGCCATTTTAGCAGAGACTGACCAGGCTGTGTTAATACCGTAACTCATGACGATAACTCTGTTCAATTCCTGTGTTTAGGTCTGTGTCCAATTTTTTATAATATAGGTCGTGTTGAATCTTTCCATGTGTTGTTATTCTTCATACTTGTCAACTTTGTAATTAAAGGATCGAAAACCTTTACGTGCCATTACAGCCACTACGGGCGGAAAACCTGACAAATAAATCCGTCGAGTTACCCAAAGGGAAAGATCAAAATAAATATATCATCATTTCCCAACGTTTATAAACTCAATCAAAGCGTCAAACGGGTTTCTACACGGTCAATCACGCTCGAAGCAATCGATTAACTCGAGCTTTTTATCCAGCCGCTTGATCGTTCAGGGGCTCCTTATAACTGCCTCAGTCACTAAAGTAAATGGTTTCCATAGCGGAACAGCGTGACACAAAAACACTTACGGAGTGGGTATACCTTATTAAAAATTCTTCTACCTCAGTTGATTTGTAGTCGATCTCCTCTCCTGCAGATCTCTTTTCTGCTTTCTCCATGAATCATAACATAGCGATGTCGGCGCTGAAGAGTAGGCCTGATGTGGCCTGAATCCGCTCAGTTGTTTCTAGAAATCCTCAGTGGAAATCTCAGTGAATCTTCGCGTATTGCTTAATCAATAATCAGTGTATAATTGTATCTGTAAACTATTCTCGAAACCATAGCTCGTTGAAGCGAAAATAAATAATCGACACTCGTTTTGTTTGTGCGTAACAATATGTGTTTAATTAAACATTTAAATACAGTTTGTTCAAATGAACAAACTGTATGAACATATTGAGTAACAAGGTAAAAGAATATAAACTAGTAGAATATCGACGTCGAACATAACAAATTATTTAGATATGGGGAGTTATGACCAATTATGATGCGGTATGAAAGTCGTAACTACAGATTATTGAGACAAACTATTCAAAGATAGTTATAGCGAACAAAGGAATATAAAAGAGTCTGTTGTAAGCACAGGAAGAACTTTACCAATATGCAATAAACATTTGTGTTATTTTCACCGCCTACAAGACAGTAACAACGAATTATTACAAACACGAAACACCTTTTTTAACCGTTTATAAACAACTTAAGAAAACTCGTAATGTCAATCCCTCAAACCCCTGCATATCGTGCTTGAATCCATCGAAGTATCCTAGCCCCTGATCCAAATTTGCCTCCAGATTTTACCGACGGGGGCGCTGTCGAGGTCGGTGCTGGTGTCGCTGCTGTCGATGCAAGGCGAGCCGCTGGGGGTCGCCGAGTGCGAGGAGCTGCTAGCGTCTCTGCCGCGTCAGGAAGGAGTGGACGGGGCGGTGGACATCGAGCTGTACGCCGCTATGCTTGTTCCTGTGTCGCCCTTCTTGTAGCTCTTTGCAAGCAGACATCCTCCTTGTGGCTGTTCTCTTCAAGCTGACATCATTCTTGAAGCCCTTCGTTCCCAGTAGACATCCTTTTTGAAGTCGTTATCTTTCTTCTTAAAAGATATTGTTTTATTTTTAGATTAAGGCATCCTTCATAACCTGGAAGTCTATTGCTCCTTGGCCTCCAGTGGCAAATTCGTTGTTTGCTGCCTCGTTGTGTCAACGGTTCAGTGGTTGCTAATGCAAGATCCACAGCGATGCTTTGATACAATAAAACGCTTCTGCATTTGTTCAATACTTTGTAGACAGCTAAACGTTCGAAACATTTTTCCGATCTCAAAATATAAAGCAAGGAAATTTATGAGATACATTCTTTATGTGGAGTGGGAGAATAAGATTTTTACAATTTTTCATATTTTATTTCACGCATTAAAACAGTAAATTTGGTCATTGCCGTATAAAAATTACTTTCATCAATATTTTGAATTTTTAACGGGTTCCATCTGAAGTTAAAAGTTTTATTAAGAGCGCTTTGAGTACAAGTTGTCGACCAAATCTTGAAAGTTGAGATGCTTTCCGGGCCAGTATTTTTTTATATATAAGTTTACGTCTGACATGTGAATATTGGTTTAAATTACGTTAAATGTACGTTTACCAACGGTAACTCTTGTAATTATCTCTTTAGGTACGAAAAGCGTTGTAGAATCTTGAAGTTTCCATAGAAAAAAGAGAAAATCCAATATACTCAAAGAAAAAATGTAACAAGCAGAAATACGTTATCGTATGCATGCATGAGCGCCCTCTATGCAGTTGTTCCACACGCGTTACTGAATTAGTGAAGAAATATGTTCACAACATTTTCTGTGCAGGTAAACAATTCTATATTTGCACATCAAAATTATCCACTTCAGGTGAATCAAGAAAAAGCTAAAAAAAAATTAAATTAATTTACGACCTTGTATAATAATTTGGTATTAAGGATGGATGAACGAACGAAAATTGTTTCATTTCGCTCTCACTGTCCTTTAAAAGTTTTGTTGATTAATAATTTGAGGAGAAAATGGGCGAGAGGCCTAGACCTGTTTGGATTGGAGTGTCAGCGAACGTTAAAGGCTTTCAACTTAGAAACAAATGAGCATTTGATTTATTCAGTAACGAAAGACTAACCAACAGGTCGTTCACCAACTATTAACTGATATGCTTTAAGTCTAAAATGCATTTGTCTCAGGGTGAACCGGACGTGATAGCTGCTTAAAAGTATATGTGCATGGTCTCGGTAATATCGCTCTTGATCGAACATTGAACGATTTATTATGCTTGATGATTAATATTCATACTTCAAAATATGTTTTTTTAATTGGCCATTTTTGATGAAATGGTTTGATAAGCTGTTTATCGACTCATGTAAACTCTGCAATGCCAATGGACATTCCAGTTGTTCCTGCCTGTTCATCTGAGCTCAACTCAAAAGAACTCCTTCAGATATCCAACAGCAGTGATCCGCACGATGCTACTGAGTGAGGTCAGTGAACACGAGGCCTCCCCCGCTGCCCTTAGGATTTGTCTTGCGAATATTTTTGATGGGCTTGGAGTCCTCGAGGTTGTGGAGTTGGCATTCGTTACCGTCCTTTCCGGCTGGCGTAGTGACCACTTCGTGCAAAGTCTTGCGGTACTGCAACGAACGTATAAACCTCCATTAGTGCATTAATTATATTATCCCTTATCAGTGCTGGATATTTTGCTTAGTTGTTATCCACAGTGGGTGCAACGATAAAATGTCTGTGATGCTCGGGGAAATCATATGAAAAAATTCATCAGACCAATTCATGTCCTGATTCAGCCAAAGTACCAGGTCGAAAGAAATTTCATCAAACTCAAATGCTACAATAAAATTTATTTCTTTCAATTGCACTGTGTTTGGCTTTCGAACAACTTAAAAACTCACTTTGTGTTTGATCCTGATGTCCTCGTCGGTTTCTTCTTTCATGCCGATCTCCTTTGCGAGCCACCTGAACTTAGCAACGATCTGCTCCTGGATGAGGTTGATGCACATGGAAAGCAGGGCCATGCCTGTACAAAATATTAATGATATTATTTGAAAGACAACATAATTTGATACCATTCAACTATTATGCATATAAAGTGAATTATGTTTATTACGATTAGTGAATGAATGAAATAACTTTTCAGCTCAATTTTTGAACCTGACAGTATACACCAGTTCTTGAATGAGCTTAGATCCACTCTGAAGTGTGAAGATTCTAATCTAAGGATCTTCTTAGGATCGAATATACGTTTGATGAATTCCTATCAACTTGACTTTGTTCAACTCACCGACGACGATGTAGATGAGCGTGGTGGCAAGTCTGAAGATAGTAAGAACGATACTTGTACTGGCATAATCTGCAGAAACTCCTGGAACGTAGTCGCCGAAGCCGATGGTACTGAGTGTGATGAAGGAGAAGTAGATCGCCTCGCTGAACTGCCAGCCTTCCCACAGCACGAAGATCACACCACCCACAGCCAGGTACAGCGCCAGAACGCACACGTTCACCGTGATTGGCACTTGAACCTGATTTAATAAATATTTTAAAAACATATTTTAAGCCATTTACAGTGAAGTTTATCCAATTATTATTGGATATAGTTTATATATACATTGGATATATTATTATTAACGGTGAAGTTTATCCAATCCATGCACATTCACTGTGACTAGTATCGGGTTGTATTGCAAAGAAAGAATCTTCAGACAGTGAAACCTTCCTCATTCTCCTAGTATGTCATTATTTTATTTTGATCCTTTATTATTGTAGGCTGCATGTTAAAAATTGAGAATCTATGAAGGCGAAACTTTGGTTGCTGTGAGATACGGAAGAGTTATTAAAGAATTATTACGTACGTGGTACAAAGAAGTCAAATTAAACGGTTTTACACAAATGAAAGATGTATTGGATAAAATGGTGATAATTTTTTGCAATGTAACCTCTTGCGTAGGCATGTAAGGCTCGTTGCCGACGACCTCCTTGAAGACAGACTTCGGTTTTTGGCCCGACTTCTTGACCTCTGATTTCTTGCGAATTATGCGACACACGACGCAGCAGCCGCGACTGGAAACATTTTCAGAAATAAAAACGGGACAACAAATGCCCACAAATCGTCCATTTCACAATGTCCGATGTCATAATTTATCCTATGTGATGATTCTGTCATTCATATATGATCTACTGAATATTCATATGGATAATTGAACTTGTTTGGTCATTTATTAATACAAATGAGTTATAATTTTGTAAAAAAATAAATTTTCTCCAGAGGTAACATGGTCACCTGTAGACGTAGCGGAAAGCGTTGGCCAGGAAGTCGCCGATGTTGGCGAGGAACACGAGCATAATAGGGACTCCGAGGCAGGCGTAAATGATGCAGTAAACCTGGCCGTTGAAAGACTTGGGGTAGACATAACCGTAACCTGTCCGGTAAAGCAAATGTCTTATAAGCCATATACGTATGATCAATAGTTCATACGTCCTCCTTGAAAGCAAATGTCAAGCAATACACCGGTTTTTGATCACTAGAGGGGGTTCATCAAGTCACCTCCCTTCAAAGAAATATGAATTTTTATGATAAAACTTGACGTGGAAGTCCCAAACAACGATGCGACTTTAACTACACTTCTATAACAATCCAAAACGAGGTGGCACGGAAATGTTCATTCGAGAGTCGAAGAATACTCGGCATGTAAAATGCTAAAGAATTACCGATTGTGGCCATTGTTGTGATGGTGAATATCAGGGAGTTGTAGAACGACCAGTCGTTGACAGGGTTATTGGTACCGTCGTATCGTAGTTCGGTCGCAGCTTTTACGATGTAGTTGTGGAAGTTGTAGATGTTGTTCCATGCCTGTGCGGACATGAAAATGTTTAATGTGAAGTTCTTTTACTGGAACTTTAACTGACGGTAATTTTAGATACTAAATCTTTTCATTCCAATAACATTGACGTCGATAGGTCGGTACTTTATACAAGAAAGAAGAATTCGTGTTTTGCATAAAAAGTTTATGGAACGCATTAAGGTTCTCGTTGTATTCACTGACTGCTTTATTGTTATATTATTCATAGAACACTGCATGGCTTCCTGACAGTCCTATTAGTGAAGCAAGTTTGTCAACATTTCTCACGAGTTGTTTGAATTTGTCCGCAGTGAGGTTCTGGCGACTTTGGTAGAACATGTCAAGAACGATGTACTTCTTAGACGAATTCATCACACGATATGCCCCTTGCTTGTTCAGCGTCGCCAGTTGTTGCTGCTGCGCTTCGGTGTAGATGAAAAGATACGCTCCTGCTCAAACAACCCGGATATATTCAGACAATTATTTTAGAATCGATGTTGAATTATTTTTATTTATGATATAACTTCTCAAAACTGCCTAAAATTTTGGCCTAAAACAATATTAAACCGATGATTCATCAAAAATATCTTCAGTATACATCGGGATATGTACAGAATTTGAGTTAAACTTAGCCTTTCTTGAATCAAAATGACATAAGTTCTCAAAATCTCTTCGTCACTGTTGTAATTATGAGTGGCTATGCATAATCTTTTATATCTGCTTTTCATGCTAATGTATACACTTTTTTATATGAGCGGTTTTTTTCTTGCCTTGGAAATGTTTCATTCTATCCACTACCGACGTAAAATTTAATATAAAGTGTAAAGGTTTTCATTCATCATCGTCCAAGTTAAATGGGTTTCCGAATACGTACCAAGAACTGCGTACAAGCAAACGATGAGGAAGAGGCCAACATGGCTGAGGAGCAATCGAAGGATCGCCTTGCAGCAGGACTGTTTGTTGCTGAACAAGTCCATTTTGAGGCCCCTGCGGATCTCTGCATTTTTGTGAGTAAGAAACTAAGGTTAATATTTGACGCCATATTGTCTCCTGGTAATATTTTAGGGAGTGCAAACGGATTTTATTTATTGTCAATGCAGGCAGCTTGGGTTAAAAATTTGTGGAAAGAAGTTTTGTTTTGGAGAATTGTTTGGAAAGTTTATTTTTCAGTAATGGATGCATAAAAGTATGTGAGAATTTTAAATTTCATTATGTTCAATCAAAAGTTTTAAATGTGCAGTTATTTAGAGTTTAATTACTTGATATCATTTATAAATAACGTACAAAGTAGCTATATTTCAGGTATAAACATTAGATTATTTAGAAAACCATGCTTTTTGTACTTAAGAGAAATTACAAATTCACTCGTGCATTGCCTCACAATTTAAATCATGTCAGAATTTTATATTCAGAGACTTTTTCAGCTCTAAGCTTCAGATGGTTTTGCAAAAGAAAAAAAAACATCAAGATGGCGATTAATCTCTCGTGCATTTGAAAGTAAACAAGAACAACGGGTGTGTTTCTCTGTGATCACAAGATAATTATTGTAATTCGTAGGACTGTTGATGGAGGAAGAAGGCTTGTATGCGCAACACCGTGCGTAATGAACAGCAATAATCCAGATTGAAAACGAATAATGTGAACGGAATAACTTTTACAGAATATATGAGGTTTATTCATCTTTATGGTGCATCATAAACAATCTTTGGACATTATATATATGGGGCGCGCACGCTTAAGGGACATCATGTTTGGTGCACCTGCGTTTAGGGGACATCATGTTTGGGGCACATGCGTTTAGGGGACATCATGTTAGGGGCACATGCGTTTAGGGGACATCATGTTTGGGGCACATGCGTTTAGGGGACATCATGTTTGGGGCACATGCGTTTAGGGGACATCATGTTTGGGGCACCTGCGATTAGTGGTTGGACTTGACGAATCAAAACTCTTTAAATATTGAGTTAAGCGAACGAACTTCGTTTTTATAGAAGATTTACCTTTCAAATCCTGTTGAAATGTCATATCAATGAGTCAAAGACCCAATTTAACGTGGAATATATGAATAGTTTGAGGGTGATATATTCTAAGCATGCATATTTAGGATCATGCGTTTGAAGGAGGTTACTTTTGCGCTTTTGAAGTGCCATTGTGGCTGCGGACGTACGGCCCCGTAGACTTTATGCAGATGTGAGAACTGGGGCTGTGAGGAGAGCACATGTAGTATCATCTAACTTTATTCCTGACTAATGTGCTACTTCTGATTCTTGATGCGATTGAAATTAAGTAATTTAATTATTCATCTGAGGCAATCTAATGACCAAGATTTTAGCAATGATCGATTCCACAGCCAAATGGTTGCATGTTATTAAAGATAATTCAGTGCTGAAAACTAGCAAGCTTTCAAGCTGATCTGTGGTATCAATGATAAACATTTAAATGGACCAAAGTTAATCATTTATTATTGAGAATCGATACAAACCTGAGTTTAATTAGAATACAGTGACGTGCATTCATCGTTGTGTGATAAGCCGGAGCGCTAGCATGTGAATATTTATTTATAAGAAAAACTTTCGGGTCTTTTTAATGTATATGAGCACAAGTTTAGGGTTTAGAGACAATCGATAACCACTCGTTTAGTCTGAGGCAGCTCAGGACAGTTGGTCATGCAGACGTTCTTACTTCGCTTGGAATGCTTCATGATCGCTGGTCCGGAGGATTACTCTTACGCTAACACGTCTCTTTAACACACAACAAGAAAATTATAAGTTTATTGCAACTTAAAATTGGCCACGTTACATGTCTTTATTGATAAATACCAATATTTATACACCTGGTTATTAAATACACTGCAGAAAACAACATCGTTGACAAGTTTAGGATAAGTTTAGGCTGAAGAATCTATAGGTCTTAAAGTTGAGTTTAGACATGACGAAATGCAAGCATGTGTTGAAGATATACATCAACAGCAGCTAAACTTGTACAGTTCATTTAGCCATGACCTTTCAAGTGCTTTGGTAAAATTTAGAAATATAATGAGGAACAAAGGGTTTACAAGTTATTAAAAAGAAATACGAACCTTATGCAAGTAATATTAGCGCATGTTATTTATTCAAATATCAAAACGTATTAAGAAGATTATTCGAAAGATTACACGATAGAGTTCGTGGGTTTAATGAATTAATTTTGAACTCGTTTAAAAAAATGTAGAGGTAATAATATGCTTGCAAATAATTTTTTTAGAAAATAAATTTTATCGACACGCTTTGGTTTGATTGAAAATATGCTTAGGAAAATAAATAAAAGTTAAAACTATTTTAAGCTACAAAACATGAATTTTTGCCACAATGAAACGAAACAGGCTGTGCATTCATTAGAACTCTATTATTCGTTTAGAAACGACAGAAGAGGTTTTAGTTTATGTCTCTTTAATTTCTATAGATACTAGTGGGAGATAACTAACTACTAAGTAGATAATGCGCTGACAGCAAATGTATCCCTATGTATATTTGCTCTTATCACATTTCATCCTTTGAAATTGTTCACAGTTTTTAGCTACAACTAAATATGAATAGTAATAGTTTCGAGTTCGTTCTCGCCCATGATAAACCTCATGATTTTCTAAAATTGCTCACTGCAGTTTCTTTTAATCATATTACAGCATCTTATGAAACAATTATTTTTTTTTTGCTCACAAAATTTTCAATTCTTACATTACAGTTTCTATAAAGAAAAAATATAACTCAGTACTCACTGCAGTGAGTGATAGAGAGCGCATTTTCTCGTCGACGAAAACGTGAAGTCACGGACGGACAGACGGACGGACAGTCGGACATGGCGAGCACAATAGTGCATTTTTTTCCATAAATAAGAAATGCGCTAAAAATAGTTGAAATTACTGAGACTCTTAAATAGAAATATTTATGGCTCGTTTACTAGTCAAGGGTTCTATTGAGAATTGCATCATTGAAAATTCAATTCATACGTGTATCACAAGCACTCAAAATACATAATTTTCCAGACGGCTATTCAAAGTTTCCCCGTCCTTCTATTCATATAAAATAGGGAAGTGATTAATTCATTGGGTGCTTGAGAAATTTTGTTGTCAGGAGCCCACGTCTGATTGCCACAGCGACGCTCTGGTGCATCAGACGGTCAGCCTGACGACGACCTCGCGGCCTCCACTGCAGCTCATCGACCGCAACCAAACAACAAATTTCACTTCCTCTCCATTCCGCTCGCTTGCGTGTATCAAATACAAGTATTCACTGTAGTCCCTCAATGATATTTTTTGTCTTGATTATATTAAATCAATAGATTATATATCGTCCAGGACTAATTTAGAGTTGCCTTTGCCTCACAAAAGAACTTGCCTGCCCTATAACCTAAAAAAAATTTGCATAATGTTTGGATTATCAAAATTTACACGATGATGGCGTGTAATTTGTTTCGTTTTTAAAGTTTTAATTTAGTTCTTAATTAATAAAATCTATACTAGTTGTTTCAATGAGTCTCAGTCATGATCATATATCGAAAAAGCTGCAAGTGATTTTTTTTTTTTTTGAAGAGGCGAACTAGATCATTGGGGATCGGTGTATAATGTGCATCAACTGACGTTTCCAACGTGATTTAATTGAAACGAATGCAACTCTCTGTCTCACATTTTTTGTCACAATTTCTACGACGTTTCACGAATCAGTCAAAATAAAGTTGCTAAAATTTGTATGCAATTTCGATTAAGTTGATCAAAATTGCGAATTCAGTTGAAACAAACATTTTCCTGACAGTGTAGTCAGGAATGAGCAAGCCATTTGACGCAAGCGAGAGTTTGTGACTATAATAAACTAGTGGGCCACGCCCCAAGATGAAATTGTATTGACTCCTGCAGTATCTCAGGACGCAGGTATTGTTCTGGGTTATTTCTAGTTATGTATCGGGAACATGGCGCTTATTTAAGTTTTATTAGTGCTGGCATGCTTCATCTGATGTGATGGTTGCGGGTTATTGCTTTACGCCACGAAAGAAATAATTTATAGAGCATTGATTGCGACGCAGGGTATGCATATTTTTTAATAGCGAGAGCTAGCTATTAACGTATTTGCAACATGATAGGAAAATTCATTAAATGTTCCTGAAATTACTGAATTAAATACGAAATATTCATATAAGATAAATATTCATAAGATGCCGCATATAAGAAATATGCGGCATCTCGCCTGCAAAGGAAGTGCATTTTCTGGGCGTTCGATTTTTTCTAAAAATAATTTCTGCATCTGAAGCAAAGGAGACCATTGCAGTGAACTTCCTTGGTTCAGGCCTCATGATTGTCGCCCGTCAGCAGACACCCAAGCAAGTATTTACCGAGTCTAGCACAGGTCCGCCTGACTTAGATGATTTAAAAGGCATTCTTTCGTTCTTCAGTGATGCTCTTGACAGACATTCTGATTTTTAACGAATTAAATTGGGCTTGTTAGGGCACACTGACATTTTGCTAGGAGCCTCACAACGCTCACACTCTGACGCAGAATATGGAAGCTCTTGTCAGCGTTTCGAGATGAAACTCGAGCGCTCCTGAGAAAACCCCTAACTATTTTACCGAATGATAACGTATGCTAAATCCTACAAAGTCAATTTGTGGAAAATTTTAGAAGCTAAAAAGTACACCTTAAATTCAAATATTATTTTTATTCATGTAAACACAAGTTACTTATGTTAGTACAAGCTGGAAGATGTACTTATTTTTTATATGAACTTTAGGTCGGCTATTAATTTCTAAATCTCCAGCCATATTTAATCAATTGAATGATTTATGTCGTCAAAGTGCAGTTTTTCTGCCAACTTCATGAATCTGTAATTCATCTTATGAATTTGTAGAATGGTTACTTCGATTGTATCACAATTTATTCAGAGTAGATTCACCTAACTACCACTACCTACTAGTAACTACCAACTTACAAGTTTTATCAGAATATAACATCAGTAACTAAGAACAAATGTAACAGAATAAGATATTGAACATTTTAATGTACCAACATTAGAAAATTTCAACATAAACATTTTGATCTTACCTGCAATATCAGCCGGTGAAGACTATGTCTGTAACGAACAGGTCTTGGCGAGGTACTGCCTGGTGCAGGGCGCCGTGCGCTGCGGTGTTGCGATGTCTCCACAGCGACCAGACGTTGTTCCCTCGACTACACCAAAGTTTCGATCAAACATGAAGTTGTTAAGTCGCTCCTCGTGCGTCATGCTGGAGTATAAAGAACACCGCTGCTCTAAAGATGATCTTTGGGAATGTTAGAATAGAAGCTCATGGCAAACACAATGGGTCAGCAGTTACCAGTTTTAAAATAATTTTATGTATGTAAATTATTACATAGAAAGACCGTTTTAATTAGCATTAAGTGATTTTTCTGCGACCGAAACTATAGAATCACACATGACTACTGTTTTTCTATCAAGCGACATTCACCTATCATTGAATATTATATATTATTCTTTACCTATGCATCCTCAACTCCTTCAAAATTGCTGTCTCTTACTCTATCCAGGACAGTAGTTCACGATTACCAAGATTAAGTTAATGCGAAATATTCTGTAAAAAGTCATGCACTCAATTTATGACGCATTCTATGATGCATGACGTCACGAATACAGAAACTGATGAGCAGGTCTTCGGCTCTGCCATTGACTGGAGCTTGTATGACGTCACTGACCTCGCTGCAGCGTGGGTGCCTGCTGAGAGCATGCGCGCTGGGTGTTAACAAATGACGTGCTGAGCGGCGCACTTAAGCAGTGTCGTGAAAATGGCATTCAGGTGACGGACCCATGTTATGATACCACGATAAGTTCAATAAGTGGCAAATTATCATAATTTCAACGGGTTACTTTTATTTTAGCGTAAAATAAATTCTCCCTATTCTAATCTATGTATAATTTTGTCGTATTAATAGTTTTGGTCGTTGTGCAAAGACATTAATTCTTGCTCATTTTAGGGTAAATAAAGTGACTCTTTAGTCATTTTGAGAATATTTGTCTGGGCATGAAGGGCATCATTGACTGCATAATTTTTTGTTGCTCTTTTGCAAATAGATTGAATTTAATTAGCTAGAAATCCTTCACTAATTAATGTTTCACTTACTTCAATCCTGCGTGTTAGTTCTAATGGTATATGACCAACATTAACTAATGACTATAGTAGCGTTTCAACTTACTAGCGCTCCAGTTACTCAGCTGTGTCGCTCCGGAAGTTGATGATAAGCAGTATCAATGAGAGAGAAGGTCTCAACTAACGTAAATTTCTCAAATAAAAAATCGACGAGGGTGGAAAGTCTTAATATACGGCCCGCTGTAGCTGGTAGGTGAAGATCAGCGTTAGCGCCTCAAGGATGCGAAATAATGAGAAGGGATAAGTGAACGATTACGAAGACACTTGTACAAGAAGTTGCTTGCGCGAGACATCGGAGACCAGCACTATAGAGAAACAGAGTGAAGAAGTGAAAGGAATCCTACTTACAAAAAGAACTTAACCCCACACAAGAGGGCCATAGTCGGGTACATGAGCTCTGTGGTGGGGCGCTCAGGAACAATGTTTCTAAAAACGTAAAATTTCTAAGGACTTTTGACGAGCATAAACACGCGCCAAAAGTTCATACTACCGTCTTGCCATTAAATTGGTTATTATAAAACGATGCGAGGAAATGCTTTGAAGCGAAATCCGTGAATTTCCGTGGAATCCTGGACCGTGGAAAGTAAAATTAAAGTTAAACGTCATTTTGAAGCTCGAAGCTGGTTTTGCAGTTGAACCACGTAAATCATGGCCTCATAAGTGCTTATAGCTGGAAGCATAATTAACAGTTTTCACGATTCAGTATCAATTGATTATATTAAACCACGACTCAGTATCAATGCTTGACTTTGTGTAAACCTGATTACATTTTCATACTCGACCAATCCACAACATTATTTTGTAGTTATGATCTTCTGAAGTGCACGTAAGTTTAAAACTTGAAACGGTTGCTTCAGCGGAGGAGTGTAAGCCCGTACGGTCGAGGGCGGGCGAGTGGGCGACGCGTGGGCGACAGCTTCGCCCCCATGCGCTCGACGAGGAAGAGGTCCTACGAGGAAGCAATACACGTGCGCCGAATTATCATTTGTGCGGCTAGAATGTTGTGTCATTGGGGCGGAGCGCCGCCATGAAAGATGGGGAGCGCCTGTTCAGGTAATGGAAATGCGGGAGGCTGCCTTGACTTCCTTGCTGTTTTTATTGCAAGTCTGGTGAACAGATTGCGTGAAGCATGCATACTTACTGCATAGACGAACGAAGCAGTTATTTTTTCAAGTAATTGATTAATTTTTTATTTCATCGTAAAGCTATTTGTTGATTTTTTTTGCATTATAAAATTCAACTCATTTATCGGAGAATTAATTTCTCGAATCGCAACTGGGGCATTCTTCTTCATTTGCAAAAGAATGAGCAACTTCTCCGTAACAGAGACTGATATATTATTCAAAATGATATTTTTGTGGAGTTAGCAAAAGTGTGGAAAGAATTTACTTTATATATATTTATAATTATATTATATATAATTATATATAATTTGGGCAGTTCTGCCCAAAACCGGAAACTCTCAGCCTTCCCTGTCTCGCTCTCAATCCAATACAATGATCTTCTTATCGGTATCAACCAATAGCGTTATCTTGATTGTTATCGCACATCACTGCATTATTACTGTATGGAGATTCAGATACTGCGGCACGAGATGGCACAATACGGTTCTGAGTAGTTATTTCTCAAACAATCAACAAATGCATACGAGTGATAATTTGTTAGCTATAATTTGCAATTAATTAGCATTAAATTGTACAGCTGATTGTCGTGATGATAAATCTTGTTCAAACTGGCGATAAACTGAGATTTAGGGAAATTTATGAATGCGTCTTGGCCAGTTTAGTGATATTAAACTTAAAAGCGTTTAAACTTTGCCGAAATTCAAATTTTGCGTCATGCTTTTTCATGTTTGCTCATGCTTGCATGACAAGTGCCGTATATTTACTATTTATTAGATTTTATTAAAACAAGCGGAATATTTATTGAAATATTAGATAATGTCCAAATAGCTTTTGTACTTCGCATGGCTACTCTGTATCAGTAAGTATTTCGTCAAACAATATTATTTGGAATGCGCACCGGACTTCGTTTCGGTGCACATACGTCACGCTTTAGCGAGCAAAAGTATTTTTTCACATAAAAATGAGATGAACACAAACATGTAAAATTTTCGCTTGTGCAAAGATAATAAATTCGCTTTTTTTCAGATCATATATAAGCAACATAGAGCTCTCATGCAGGTTCATTTAAGTAAGATACAGACATTACACATGCTGGGCATCAAAGATAAATAATATACAGACAGCACACATGCTGGGCATCAAAGATAGATAAGAAACACACACTTGACTTGTATAAGATGATCAGTAACTATCTCATGACACCAAATAACGTACGTCCACAGGAAGTATATCATATGACGGGTTATAGGGCTGGGGTGATCAGTTCCACTACAACCTGTTAAATTCGTACGAAATATTTAATTTAAAAGTGCAGAGCTCGGAGTATTGGCTCCTTCTGTGTGATGTTTATTTCATGCATAATTATGCTGAACTGAGAAAAGTGGTGCTTCTTATCAAGTTAAATCTTGTCTTTTATAAAAATTCGTGCAATTAATTGCTTTGAAAATTCCCACTGACTTGCCGGTTAACAAAATCACTGATAGTCTTATAGCTTGCTTTCAGGGAGGCGTCGTTGGAATGCAAGCTCTAACCAATTTACCTTTACTTAATCCCCCAAATTTGAGAATAACACAGCGCTTTTCTCAGTCAATTAAAGCGCGTGGGATTTTCTAGACTCTTCGAATACACGAATAAGAAGAAAGGAATGCGCCGCAGACACACGCAGTGGCACCATGCGTCATCAGCATTGTGTCGCGGGAGCCCGCGCGCCGTTTTCTGTGCGACGTTTTCTCCGCACGGGGGCAAGTGCAGCGAGTGTGTTAGCGCGTGCGTCATCGCACACCGACCAGAGCTTATAAATAACCAACGCACACGTGCCGAGCAGTACAGTTTAGAAGCTGGTCTAGTGAACATCTCTGGTGTGACTCTCCTGTCTCGACCTCGCTTGTGTTTTCCTGTTACTGCCTCAATAAAGCAATAGGTGAGTAAGGGATTGGCACACTAACAATTGCTTTCCAGGCATGAGTAAACTAGAGCTGCTGGAGCTCGGACATGAATCCTTCAAGTGTTCTACTCGATGAATCGGATACTGATTATTCATGAAGCCTCCATTGACATCTTTTAGATGTTTATTCTTCATATATTATAATTTTATTTAGTTGACCGGATTGTTGATCGCTGCATTCGTTTAGGGGATTTGTAGTTCTATATATTCGGATCAAATTTTTATTCTCACAATATCGAGTAATGCGAAACATCATCACAAATATCGTATTATTCACGAGGCGATGTTGCTGTTCAGTTGAATTTGGTAATTTCTCAATGTTAAAATCTTATGAAGTACTACAGAATTTTATTTTTATCCCGCAGAACAACTATTACAAAATTTTTATGTCGCATTGAAATATCTTGAAAAACACCGTCTTAGGTTCATTCTAGTTAAAAAAACGCAATATTTAGGCGAATTCTCACTAATGAACATGCATGTTAAACTATATAAGATATACATTTATCATACTAAATGAAGTTGCTAAAAAAGTCCGTGTACTTCGCCGAGACAAGTTCTTTGTTCGCTTGTTCAATACTAACGAGATGGCTTGCCCCATTATTGAACTAATACCAACTATATTGTGCAAACATCGGGCTTGTCCAGTCAGTGACCTGCTTATCGATCACAAGCTTGTCCACTTTCTGTGTCGTACGAAATGCCTCATGAAATGCTTTGTCTGAAGTATACATAAAGCTAAAGAGTCTGCTTGCTCAGGCGAATAACCTGGCGAAGAATAACCCCATTTATAGAGTTAATTTTAACTCTTGAACTCTATTATGATAAATATTCATTTTAAAGCAATACCGTTACAGGCTAAATCAATCTCATTATTCATTGCAGGAGAAATAGAGCCAGTCTCTACGAGATGAATATATAGTGAATATATTCCTTCACTCTAAAGTAACCATCAAAATATACAATCGTGGAACCCATGAATTGCTAGGATATTTTGTGAAGAATTATATGAAGCAGTCCTACATGTACAGTTAAATGTGACAGTAAGCGGCTGAATGAGTAGCGGCTTGCGGTGGTGTGAGTAATGGACTCAATTGTGCAACCAGGCCAGCCTTTGCACTACTGAATCATGCTCTCAGTATATGTATATCAGTAGCTCTCAGTATATCAGTAGCTCATATACTGAGAGCATGATTCATTAGCTCATATACTGAGAGCATGATTCAGTAGCGCATATACTGAGAGCAGGATTCAGTGGCGCATATACTGAGAGCATGATTCAGTAGCGCATATACTAAGAGCAGGATTCAGTGGCGCATATACTGAGAGCATGATTCAGTTAATCATGCTCTCAGTATATGAGCTACTGAATCATGCTCTGACTATGTGCGCTACTAAATCATGCTTTCAAGTTTTGCGATACTGAATTTAGGGTCTCAGACCCTGAATTAATCCAACGATGCTGCGCTGGATTAAGAAATCTTATAAATGCGCTACTGAATCAGGGTTTCAATGGAAATGCTACAGGATCGCGATCTCGTAATTAACCTGTATAACAAAGAATTTAAAAGCCAAGAAAACCCAAGCAAATTCACCATATCGATATTGAAATATCGATGTGGTGTATATTACTGAAATATTGATATTTCAATATCGATATGGTGAATTTGCTGGGTGTTTTCTTTGCTTTTAAATTCCTTGTGAACTTGTGATATAAGCAGACTGATAATATATGTTACCTGCATAAAACAGGCGCTAGGGAAGAGAGTTCGTCTAAACCACTTCGAGCGCTCCTATACCGCATTGCTGCGTGGACTCCATGCAGGACCGGTTAACTTCAGTCCAGTGAATGATTTACCTCGCCCCCTCCCTGGTTTAGAACTCAGCTCGTGCGATACTGCACTCGATCAGTTAGACATCAGTCTGAGAACCTGTGCGTCTGAATCAGGTGATCAGGCCGGATGCCCCCTGAATCAGTCGCTGTCTGATCGAGAGCAAAGAAGGGAATCTGCATCCTGCGGGAGACAAAGAAGCATTTGATGCATTGCTGCCATCAATGAGGCGCCCGTAGAGCGGTAGTGCGAGAGGCATCCTCCTTGAGTTGATTGTGATGCCCACAAATTGAACGCTTCTATTAATAACTTGTAGTACATGTACATGCGATAATATTGTAAGTGAATAAATAGTATAAATTAGTTTTATTTAAACATGAATATAATTAAGTAAAACTGAATAGGATGACTCGTGCGTTAAGAAAGTTATCAGATACCCTTACTTTTTAAGGAGCCGGCAAGGCTGGCGTTTCTTGAACGAGCAGTACAAAACAAACTTGTTATTCTGCTTCTCTTGTGAGACTCAATTCCTGGAAACGAAAACAATCACTTAAAATGTTCTTAATGTATTTCTATCAGTAATTTTAATTGCAATATAGTTTATACGCTATAGATTGACACGCAGCCCTGAAATAGATGCTTATAGTTTATTTCACAAATTGCAAAGAAAAGTTTGGGTTTTAATGAAACCGTCGCGGTTGTGTACTCGCCAACGGATAAATATAGGATTGGCATCCAATTTTCCATCGATGACTCGATGAAGTTTGCCTGGTCTTCCAATCATCAATGTCTATTCAATTTGCTCCAGTATTTGTTCACTACAAATTTTATTAATTATTACGTTAATTGTCTGTATAGCCAATAAGTCAATTGATAATAGCCAAGATCCAAAAATTAATCCAACGAATGCAGTAGCTACAAAACAAACAAAAAAGGAAAAGCTAACAAGAAGTTATTAAGCTTAATTGAGAAAATTAATTCGGTTTATCTGGTAAGATCAACGTTCAGGTATATGAACATAAACGTAAAATTATTCTAATACCTAACAAAGCCCAAGGTGAGACACATATTCGCTCTTTCTCCGCCATGTCTTGATGCAGAAATTCTCGGAAGGCTCCTCGCCTGAAGGACGAGGCTTCGCAAGCGTTATTGTGTCGACACCAGCATGACCTCATGGACGGCGGGCGATGAGATCATCTCCCTTGCAGGCAACTCCTAACATTAGCGTACTGATTTCTACCTTCACTATGACCGTAAAATTTTAAACTGTTAGGACCAGACAACATGTCAAATTACTGGTGAATGGAGATCGAGTGACGCGAAATTATATGTAGCTGGCAATCATTTGATTTCGGGATTCAAAACCCCTGGGTCCATATACTCGTATAAATTTTTATTTGGCCATTTTCATCTACTATGACATTTATCATATCTTAACACGTCATGATAATCGAAGACATCAATAAGGCCGCACGGTGCAGCTCAGTGTGGTATATCTTGGTCGACTTCTATGGTTTACGACTTGTCACGCGACCTCAATCAGATGCGCCAGCACTGAAGCTCTCTACGATTTTCCTGTGACGGTGAAGTGAATTTACGAGATGCAAGAGCCGCAGACACAGGCGGTCTTTGGTGTACTCGCGCTTTACTGTTGCCAAGGCTACACTTAATAGCGCCCGACTGCAACAATCATACAACACTCTATTTATTCTCAGTGCTCGCTGTTAAAGCGAATGCTTTTAGCTCACATTTTCCTGCTACATGCGAGGCATAGCTAGTAAAGAAGAGAATATGAAATAACTGTATGATACTCTCTCTCGTTATCAAGTAATTCTACATTCCATATTAGGTAATTAGAAAACAGCGAGTTGTGCTATCGTAAATTGTTTGTCGGGAATCTCCATGCTTATGTATGCTTTTCAATTTTGCCGTTATCAAATATTTTTTGTCCGTCAAATAAGAATTAGGGTGCATCAAATAGAGTTTATATATAAGATGAAAAGTATCAATTCTTTCCAATTGATTATTCATACTCGGCACTTTCCACTTCAACGATTCAATAAAATGATCTTATCTTCTGTTAGCATGAGGGCTTTGTACAATGTGTTCTGTGCAATGCGCATCCACAGAGAGGATGTCTGTAAAAATGTTCATATCAAGGTGGCATGTCGAGCACCACGTATCAGTGCCATATTGGCGACCCGCGGGCCTACCAGCGTTCAGAGACTCATGTCAATATTTGTAAGTTACTTTTCATTACAATTATTAAAAATTTGCCTTTTGCACCGTTTTGCTTCTGAAGAAACTCGTCGCTTTAATTGCAGAGTCGCTTGCCGCCATGTAGTTTTTGATTACCATAAACATTGAAAATTTTACAAATATCTAATAAGGAAGACCATTTCAGTCAAATGAACGGATAAGGTCTTCATCTGGAAATTCATCTCTTAATATTTAATTATAATTTTATTCGAGGTTGTGGTCACTTTCGGACTATCGCTCATCTGTATACCGAAAATTGAATTAAGTTCTAAAAAAGATGTCCCAAGCTACACAAACCAACCCTTAAATTAATAGCACAAAATAAAACTGATATAAACAGATAAAATAAGTCAATATAAACAGATAAATGAGTCAATTTAGAGTGATGGTCGTCACGGGAGCTCGGACAGTGGACAAAGCGAGCCGATATTTCAACAACGGCCACCAGAGCGTCGAAACTTTGGCAGCAGCCCAGACCGGTCGAGCGTCTGCTGCCTCAAGCTATTCTTCTCCCGGGCCTGAGGGGCAGAGAATAAGCAACTCTGTGTCAGAGCCAGCAACGCTTGCTTTTCCAATAGAGCCTAAGACAATCTTATTTAAAACTTAAAAGTTACAATGAAAACAATAATTCTGGTCCTTTTGTAGCGTCGCTGTCTCCCACCCTTCTCGCAAAACAGCTAATTTGACACCAGAGCGAAATAATTAGGGTTCTGTTTTGGCTCAAGTTTTACCGTCAACATTTCGCTTGCCTTGAGTCGCCCACTTTTAGAGTGGCATTCCTTTTTGTGCTTGGCTAAACAATTAGCGAAAGGAGGACGTCTAAAACAATAATTAACAACCCTGCTTACTAGCCGAGACATATACATGTTGGAAAATACTTCAGGGAAAAAATACTATCAACTTTTAAATCAACAGCGAAAAATGTTCGCTTGCAGCTGCTAATCTTCCTAAAACAAAATGGATTTCATAAATGTATCCTAAGCAAGATCGGTCAAGGACCTGAGTGATGTGTTGTGGTGAGAGGTGGTAATGGTTATGGCGTGGGCTGCAATGTACATGAAGGTTGTGGTGCTGAGGCGGCCGTGCACATGTCGGGTCTTGGAGAGGCGACAAGAATGCGTCTGAGGTCGCAGCTCCACCGGTCCTTGTATGTTTCATTTAATTGAAGTAAATTACCAGCACTGGTGTACATGCTCAGTCAAGTGAGGAAAGTTTAGCCGATGCCTAAATGAGGATATTATTGGTATCTTGCTCACAAAGATTTTGCTCTACTCATCGTATGAAGAATTCAAGAGTAATTTCCATCACTCACGAACACATTATTATTTCAGGTCATTACGCTGAAATAAAGTTGCATCAGTTACTTTCCGGAACACCATAATAGGTGCAGCATACTGTAATCCTTGGCGGTTGAAAAATTTAATTAAAAGCATGCCTCAGATCTGCTCACTTTTTAGTAAACCAATAAAAAATTATATTTATAATTAAATAATAGTTCACTGTTTGTGAAGAAAAGGTCTCGCGAGATATTAAATGCCATTGAATTTTATGCTTCTTTTTTTCGTCATTTTATCATTAAGAAATAATTTGATACGTCTACCGCTACCGAAATATTGCGTATCAGGAAGCGACTCTTTAACTTCGATGATACGGTCTCGTAACGTAACCGCGAGATGCCTTAACTCCTCTACTGCGACAGCTTTTCCCTGTCTGCAGATGCATCAGCAGCGAAGGCAAGATTATTTCTCATAATCTTGAGCTTCCCAATGTTTGACTGAACCTCACAAAAAAGAGCCACCAAAACCATCAATTTTGACGGTAAAAAAATACCGCTTGGCTCTCACCAGAAGTAGAAGACGTGTGTGTGTGACGATCTGCACGACACGTCCTATTTATTTACATAGACACTAGTTGCTTCTGACGGCGCACTTTACCGCTGCTCATAGTTCCGTGGTTATTTGCAATGACAACGCTAATGCTGAAAGTCATGATAGTAATATAAGCTTCTAAAAACTAATTCTAGCGCTGATTTAATTCTTTATAGTATTTTTTCAGGTAATGTGAGTTGGACATATGCATTCTAAGTATTATTAAAAAAACTATCAAACGTCTCTCACGAGTTCACTGAAAATCCGCCACAGTTTGAGTCTGGATGCTACCTACTACTGGGAATTTGCATTCAAAACGTTCGACCTGCATGCTAATGGAAATAATATTATTGTCATTTATTCTTCGGTCAACCTTAGTCCAATCTATGATGTTTAAATTTTCTCTCGGTAGATCCATCATGTCTAAGACCATCAGCCTCATCAAGCGCGAGTCTTTCTTCGACGACTCTTTCTTCCAGGACGCATGGGGTGACTTCGACTCCGCAATCCAAACCATCCTCGATAAATTCCACGACAAAACCGTGAAGGTATATTGGTATACTAAATTCTCTCTCTTTTCTACTGGAATTAATTATGAACAATTATGTAGCTTGCTTATTCAGTAAAAATATATAAATAATATGTCGATGTTTCGTGAGCTTGAATGTTCACTGCGTTGGTCAGCGTACGTGTGCCGTCTATCCTATTATATCCTGAAAGTAATGCGTGTTTAATTGATGACACAGCTTGTTATCTTTAGCATTATCAACACAAGAATGAATCGCATGTAAAATTGCCAGTAATCAGACTGATGTATATCGATTGTAACTCTTCAGACTTGTTACTAGTGCATTCAGATCAATTTGTAAATTTTGTTTTACTCTTTACGAATTTCATTCCACGTCATATTGAATTTGTTTACTTTGCATTTTTATTGTTTAGAAAATTAATTTCAGTGAACTTTCACATCGAAGCTATTTCTATAAAACTGCGTTTTAATTAAAAGTATTATGATGGCCCTAGGTGGACAGCGGCTCCCGCAACGAGTGCCGCGACGTTTACCGCAACATCCGCAGCAGCAGAATTGACGATGACATCTACGCGTCTCAGGCGCTTCAGGTCACAGAAAAGGACGGACGATTCAGCGTGAGTCTCAGATATGCGCTCATTTAATCGTACACTTATATAATTCGCATATAAATAACTTCGCATTTTTTTCTGATATTATGCTGTAGAAACGTGCAAATTAGTCGAATATTAGCAAGTGATTATTTAAATAAAACCTATATTCCGTGCCAAGTTTCAAAATCTAAAAGCGACTGTCGTTCAAATTATGTCGCGCTAATCAGAAATAGAATTGTTGCTGTACGGATATGTCAAGATGCAGGAAAATTGCGCTTATGGAAAATAATTGCAAAGTTCACAGCTTCCGATGTCACTGAATGGGACTCTATCGAACTATGATTTTGTGACGGTTGAATATCATCGATGATTTATTACCATTTTTACTCTTGAATATATGCTCCTAAATATACAGGAATTTCAAGCAATTTCTCAAATGAAAATTTGTTTGACTCGATGAGTAGATTCAAATGAACATACTGATTTCAGAATGCCATTTCCTTACAGTGTGTTATGGACGTGAAGGACTTCAACCCAAATGATCTCCAGGTCAAAGTGGTTGAAGACAGAGTCATCGTTGAGGGCAAATACGAAAAAGTGAGCTAACAATGATTGGTTGTAGGGGGAAATTTTGTGATTTTGACTTATGAGAAGAATATTATCGACATTGTTTCGCTCCAAAAGAAGTGATAATTATTTATATAACTTAGTCTTGATCCAATCAGAAACAAAATGATGTTCGGCCTAGAAAATTTTCTTGCTGTTCCGGTTGAAACTAAGAAGCTGATTACACTAGTAACGTGTTTAGTTGTTCAGATCAGAAATCAAAAGCTGGTCTTCCTAGTAACATTTTTCGTTGGTCCAATCAGAAATCAGAAGATGGTTCCTGCGTGTCGAGCAAATCCTTCTACAAGGAGTTCACCATGCCAAAGAGTGCAAACTTGGACCAGGTCTCCACCGCTCTATCGAAGGACGGCGTTTTAACAGTCAGGGCCCCCAAGAAGGTGAGAGAGCTTCAGGGTTGCAACTACTTGCAGTCTGCATTGAATTTAATAAAATAGAATCTGGAGCTGAAGATTTTGAATTTGTGTTTATACTCCGCGGAGGAAACACGTTTGCATGTTCATTTTCGTCTGGTTGTTTACCAACACTCATTTTAAAATTTGGAACAAAACATTTAACATTTTAAGATCACACAATGTGGAATATACCGTACTCGAAGATTCCCTAACAATATTTAATCCTGGAAAATAATTGCTCAGTCATATCCATAGGTGGTTTATTAATTCTAAAATTTTCTAAAATACTTAGGCATTTAGAGGTACAAAATTTGGTATTGAACAAATTTTCAGTCATCAATAGGTCAGTTATTAAACGCTGGCTTATTGTACATCTTTTGTTAGAGTAAAAATATTCAAATGAATTAATAAAATACTAAAAGGTCTAAAGCGAAAAAATCTATGTTTCATTGTTGTTAGGGTTAAATTCAATAAGGCAAAAACAATACAAATTTCGACATCATCATTTTTTACAGGAGGGCAGCGAAGTCGCAACCGCAGGCGATGGCACAGTTTCCAAGTCATCGGTCCAGCAATCATCCTCTTCATCCGTCCAGCAGTCTTCCACCTCGACATCCACTTCCGTCAAGAAGCAGTCCGTATCATCATCCTTCACCTCGACGTCATCCGTGTCTAAATCCTCGCAGCTGACCTCCTCTTCATCCATCACGAGCAGCTTTGATGACATGGCAAAGGAAATGAACGACCGTCTCGTATTCACTCACGAGAGCGTCAACCTCAAATTGCCTGAGAACTAATTTGTTATGCACGAATAATTTACTTTGGTCTCGTAAATAATGCTAGCTTAAATGCGTAAATTATTAGTTTCTTTTATTTTATCATCCATCTTGCTGCTAACCCATGATTGGTTTTCTTGTTTTTCTTGCCTGCGTTCGATTTGAGGGCTAACTTCATCAAAAGCTGCAGGATAACAATGCAATTCGTGCTTATTCTCATAAATTGCTTTTTCATGGACCAAATTTCTATATTTTGCTTTTTCCAGACTTCGCCCAATCAGTTTTGCCTGAAAAAGGTTCTGAGCGCAGGCCCGCTCATTTTTTTCGATTACGTTTTTTTTCAATCATAGACATCATGTCTACGAAGGCAATACCATTTCACCTATTAGCATTGGTATTGTGTTATAAAAGACGAGAAAACGTATCAATTAGATGTGCTGAACCTCTAAAACTTTCTAAGGACTCGCACCTCCAGATACTTGAATTACGTGATTAGTTCTCTAGAAAAGTGTCGTACATTTTAATAAACACTCTATTTGTCGCATTGTTTTAATTAAATACTCTATCCCTCAACTGATCGATAAAATATTATTATTTTTCAGTTCCTTTACATTTGACATAAAATAAGTTTGCAAAAAATTTGCATTCAGTGATTTTGCTGAAGAGTCTCTTTTAGAATTAGAAAGCGGAATTGACCGACACACTACGGTTTTTTTTTTGGATTTGGGGGTAGACGAAATATATTGACTTCACCTTCTAAAGAAAATGTTTCTATAGGAAAAAATGCATTAATGAAATCTTAGGATAAACATCACACCCTAATTTAGACAGTAATACTTTAATTCATCACATCAAAATACGTCGCACACACATAAATTGATAGCCCAAACACAGTTGTGTAAAGACCGGCATAGTTTTGGAGCACACGAATATAAAAAATATTTAACTCGGTACTCACTGCAGTGAGTGACAGAGAGCGCACTTTCTCATCAAAGAAAACGAGAAGTCACGGACAGACAGACGGACGGACCGACGGACATGGCGAGCACAATAGTGCATTTTTTCCATAAATGAGAAAATGCGTTAAAATGAGAGAGTTTACTGCAGATGATCTTTTGTCTGTCTTGTCAGAAGACACGGGGCTTTACATGAGTTGCGTCGTGACGAATTATCAAGGCACTGTCAAGAAAGGAACATCTTTAACTTATTGTAACTTGGTCACTTCTAAGAACTGAAGAACAAATGCTTAGAATATTTGCTCTTGAAAAAATTATTTTTAAGTTGCAGTGCCGAGCTGCTACACAGAAACTTTAAAATGAGCATATTTTTCCGCGTATGTCGTTTTGGAAACTATTCATTTCGGAAACAAGGAAAGGCACATAAATAATAACAAATATCGTTTAATTGTTTGATTTTCAAAGTCATTGTCGAGGACACATTTAATGAATCACTTTGTTTTGAGCAAGGTATAAAAAAACAGGAAAGGCTCCTTAGAATTTAGGTTTGAAAACATTGCCAGAATTGAGATTTTCTTGTACATCGCTAAATCAAAAGTTACGCCGTACCTAGATTCTAATGTATATATTGTTTCAATACATTTTTTAAACTTCAAATTAAATATCTACAATTAAAATAAACTTAAAATATTCGCAATTCATTTCTTGGGGAATGTGCGTGGCAATGCAATCAAATATGAAACCACATCGGATCGAGTCCTGGGAAACACGTCGATTCGTAACTAATATTTGTTATCTCAAGTCAAATTAAACTTTAAAGATATTTATGGCCTCTCACCAGCGCTCGACGACTAACAAAAGTCAACAGTTATATTTATTGGGCTTGGACATCAGTGCACGAGAAAAAATACATGAATCAAACATATTCGTCAGAGACTAATGACCAACGTCAAATGTTACATCGATGAGGGTTCACGGCTATAAAAAGTAATAAATTCTTTGAAAACTAAGGATATTTTTATCATTGTATGCAATAGAATCGAACAATCTGAAACGTTAATTAATGTTCGAGTGCATTGAAACTCTACAGGGTAAATTGATCTCAAAGTAATTAAATCTCTTTTCAAACGCATAAATGAAATGAACTTTGTAAAAGCGACTTAATTGAATTTCCTATCGAAAGGAGACTCATACGAAGACGATGATGAGAACGAGCTGTTTGAATTTCTCGAACTGCGAGAAAAGGTATTTAAGCTTGGGAAATCCCCGAAGCCCATTCGCGGGAAATCATCGAACTCAGCGAGCGCGCCAGAAAACTCGGGGAATCTTTCAGCAAGACTGGGACGATTGGCGAAAAGGGATCCACGAGGAAATCCAAAAGAGTCTCTCATGAAATCATCTGAAGCGCTGGAAGAAGATCGTCCGGAAAATGATGATCTAACACTTGCTTGATCAGAGGGCGGATCGGACTGATTAGACAGACGGGACCGATTTGACATATCAGACGCTCCAGACCGGTGTGAGGCTTGCGAACGTCCAGAAAGAGAAGATGCTATTGAGTCGTTGGACATTTGAGACATGAGTGTGTGACCTCGTCCAGTCAAACTACGCAAATCGCCAAAGTCATGGGGAAATCCAACATTGAAAAACGGGTCATCAAATGCTGACATGTCCATCCCAGTGCTGGAAAAAATTTTCTGTGAGCTACTGGATGTACTGGTTTTCTTTACAGAAACTGTAGAACCATCTGGTAAACGCCGTATTGATGACTCACTCGCATCAGCAGCTTCTGCTTGTTCAGCCCCCTTGTATCGTCCTTGTGGATCGTCATGTTTGCGCTGAATTCTCGTCACAGCCTCTCGACGGGCTGACTGGCCATCCTTTTCTTCGATTTCCGAAGCAATTTCCTTTGCCTCCAGTAAGCCTCCTGCCTCTTGAATAACATTTGCTTTTTCAGACTTAACGATGCGCTTCCCGTCTTTCTCTTCAACAGTGACGGTAGTGTCGCCACTTGAAGCGCATCCTGCAGTGAAGATAGGGATCCTCACTGCGGGAGGCATGAAAACAGGACTCGTGACTCTGGGAGAATAATTATCAATTTTTGAGCCATTTGAATACCGAGAACTGACAGACTGAGCACTAGGGCTCCAGACTCTACTTTGAGGCTGCTGTGAGTATCCACTGATTTCTGGAGTCTCCCCGCTGTACGTGGCATCAGATTTCAGACCCTGGTTGTTGTTTGCATTCTTGGCAACATCGAAGTCGGCGGAGGTTGAGATTCGTGACATGTCCGAAGGTGTTTCACTTGGTGCAGGAGACGAACAGGACGAGTTGCTGCTGCTCACTGAAGAAAATCCTGACTCGTTAACCATGAGACGATCTCTCAAGTCACGAGGGAGGCTGTCGAGACCACTGTCATTCGATTCAAAACTTGATGACGATTGCAAATTTTTGTTACCAAGGCTGCGATAGGACGAAGCGGTGGTAGAAGAAGTGCTCTTGGTGCTTTTAGTGGACACCCCATCCTGCGTCTTCTGCTGGTTGTAGCTCTCGTTGATGGACTGAACAGAAGAGGACTTCGATTTGGCAGCTTCACGAACGTTATCCTAAGGAATGCATTTTGCTTGTGACTGACGTGTGTGATTTAAGAGTGTCATGATCGCTTAATAATCTAGAGACCTAATAGAACTAAAATAAATTATGACTTGCAACATTATTGCATAAAAAAGTTACATCAGCGATGATTTATACATTTAAACACAAGACAACTTTACAAACAATTCCGATTAAATTAAAATCATAAAACCCCAATATATCACTTTCTTGAAGAAGTATCAGGAACAAGGCAATTAACTTTATAAGGAACCCTGTTATCTCTTAATAAGATTGACGCAGTTTTACTGCCGTATCTCACCTGAGCTTTGCGAGGAGCTCGGACTGTTAGGACGCCCTCTTTGGAGAGCGCCGTGGTGACGAGGTCGATGTCGGCCTCGTCAGGCATCGTGAACTCCTTACTGAACGTCTTCCAGGCCGACGACGCTCCGTCGGCAGACTTCTGCACAACACAATTGTTTGTAGCATCGACTCCAGTTCCTTTGTCCAAAGAAAACTATGCTAATTTGATTAATCCTTAAACCTATGACTGTATGACACCGTACGTTGATACACATTAAAAATGTTTCAATATTTTTACTTTAAGATGCTCACTTGCTCATACTTCCCCTCCACCACAATCCTGTTGTCATCCACCACACGAACTTGCAAGTTCCGAGGGTCGAAATTTTTCACATCCATCACGACCTGAAAGCGACACAATAATTCAGTTGCCGTGCCGCTTTAAATGAGAGCAAAAAAGATTTAAAATAAATTCGAGACATGGTGTCGGTTCATCATTGACTATTGAATAATAATGGACCAATGCAATGCATGTGCTTAACGAGACTTTTATTTTTTTATGCTTCAATTGAGAACTGTTAGAAAAATCATGGCATGAAGAAATATTAGGTAGGTATCGGCACGTAAACTACAGATATATATAATTTATATTTTAGATAACTTTAATTTAAATAACTTAGTCTAAGTTTAATGTGACCTGGTATCGGCCGTCCTTCTCTGTAACGCGGAGGTCCTGCGACGAGTACGCGTCAGGCTCACAGCGGCTCACGGCGCCTGTGCCGCCGCTACCTCCACACCAAGAATTCTGGAACATGTGCGTCAAATTTTGGTTATTTTGGACGTTATGAGCCCGTCTCATTTCATGACGAATAATGTACATTATACCATAAAAATATAACGATCTCATCAGAGCGGTCATTGAAGCTTACATTGCGAAAGGTTAATTCCTAAAATGAGGATTTGCTTAGCTGTACGTCATCTCTGAACTCACGATATCAACAAAATAAGAACGTGCACTTAGCTTACTGCAATATTATTAATATTTGTGATCGAAAATTAGTTGCAAGTTAACCGTTAATAACAAATTCGTTTTGACCCTGGAGTACAGTGGATATTTTTCATTTAAAATTCTACAATAATCGGCGTTTAACATTATTGTATGGAATTTCTAAATCAACATACAACTCGATGAACAGTGTTTCTGTGAGATATCATCACACACTAACTACTCATTCTATTGTGTTTAATTTTTTTTAACTGAGACACATTGCCTGATTTGACTGTAACGTAATAAGACACTTTGCCTGATTTGACTGTAACGTAATGATTTGACTGTAATAAGAATCAGCACACTATATTTCAGAAAAGTGTACAATGTGATTCGTCCGTACATCACATTCTGAAATTACAAGATGCTAAATAATTCAACTTTTTGCATGTGTGGGCAGTTCTTGATTTTATCTCCAAGCTACTTCCTAATTCAACGGCAAGATGTACGTTAGATTTTTCCCCATCGTCTCACCATGTTATCGCCAAGACCACCACCAAGAAAACAATATTAGAAGAAGCTGAGGACAGTCAAGGTAGAGCTTAAGTAGCAGCGCAAACAGCCGAGTCAGGCGTTACACTGAGCAAGCAAGAAGTGCAGCTCGCGCTGGTAATGAAAGGCCAGCCTACACACATGCGTTCTTGGTCTCACCGAAATAGCGCATGAGGGAAACACATCGAGATGTTCATATACACAGAAGCCTTGGCAAGCGCCCAACCACCGCCGAACTAACGGGTAAAACCGCACTTATGTCTTAGTTTTTAGCTCCATTACTTCAACAGGTGTAGTGGCATTCCTATGGGTAAAGTCTATGCCACGTCAAGGCTCTGCAATGCAGACGGAGGTAGAACGCTGTCTTCATTGTGAGTCGGTCATGAGTTTTGAGGTTTGGTCCATTTTATTAGGATGATTTCGTAGAAGCAAATATAGTCATGTAATTTCTACTAGAAGTAAGACACTCCGAACGCATCTGCTTAATCGATTTGAACTAAAAATCACAATTCGACCTACAAGTAAAAGACACAGAATATACAATATGTATTTGAGTTGCAATTAAGTGAAACATCTACTTTAAAGTAATGTATTAGACGTCGCCTATCAATTCTTAGATATATCAGCAAATTTGTTCATAATGCTGATCGTAATGTAGGATCAAATGTGCAATTTACTAGTATAATTTTGGAATTACCAGACTGTCAATGATATGTTGAGAGATTCAGTGTGCGAGGTTCAAGATTCACAAATGGGCCCTACAGATCGCACCACTAATATCCAAATCTTGAGCCTATTAAAATGAACAATGAACCAAATTAATACTCCATTATTTGAGATACGGTTAATCGAATATCCCCTATTGATGGAACACATGATTGACATGTATTTCGCGTTTGATAACTTACATCGGACATTATAGGTTTCTGTGAACGGCCCATCGCCCGCTGAAGGGATCGGTCGAACTCTTGCAAGCTCTCGTTGAAAAAGGGATCGGAAGCAAAATCTTCCAATAAGTCACCGGGATTCCTGACCTTCGGCATCGCAAAACCTGGGTAAATAAGAAATAAAGTAAAAAATCATTCACTTTTAGATGACTATACAAATTAATGCGCGCGATTGAAAAACTCGAAATGTTGCAGTGTCATCGAAAATTCTCGCTGCAGAGGCTCATGGCTGTGACCAACAAGTTACATCATTTAATGTACGCAGACTCATGGCCGTGACCAACAAGTTACATCATTTAATGTACGCAGACTCATGGCTGTGACCAACAAGTTACATCAACTAATGTAAGCAGACTCATGGCTGTGACCAACAAGTTACATCATTTAATGTACGCAGACTCATGGCCTGTCTCTTATACACATCTAGATGTGTATAAGAGACAGAATGTACGCAGACTCATGGCTGTGACCAACAAGTTACATCATTTAATGTAAGCAGACTCATGGCTGTGACCAACAAGTAACATCATCTAATGTAAGCAGACTCATGGCTGTGACCAACAAGTTACATGATCTAATGTAAGCAGACTCATGGCTGTGACCAACAAGTTACATCATTTAATGTAAGCAGACTCATGGCTGTGACCAACAAGTTACATGATCTAATGTAAGCAGACTCATGGCTGTGACCAACAAGTTACATCATTTAATGTAAGCAGACTCATGGCTGTGACCAACAAGTTACATCATTTAATGTACGCAGACTCATGGCTGTGACCAACAAGTTACATGATCTAATCGCATCAGTTTGCATTACCATGCTTTTGGATGCGTCAGTTTAGAAGTTCGATTTTGAAAGTATGGGGATTTATTTGAAGGTTATTTTGGTGGGGAATTCACAATTAAATTGAATCTAAATGAGAAAAATAGTTACATAATTTAAATAAATTCTAGAAAGAGTCTTTTGACAATATTTTTTTTTTGGCAATAAGTCGCCAGAAAGATATATTTATTGCGATTTAATTATTCACACTTCACTAATACAGGAATATTAAGAAGAACTTTATCTTGACTTTTATTTACGAGTACAAGAATGGAAGCCAGTGGAAGTTGCAATGAAGAAGGTTTAAAATCGCAATAAATCTCGAATGAGTACAACAACTGACCATTCATGTTCATGCAATTACTCACGCTCCAATTTTAAGCGTGCAACGTGTTAGGAGTTTAGCAAGAGCGAAGTTTATTGGCCAGCGGAATTTGTCCTGGTCAGAGACCATCTCAAGCATTAAAGGTTTAATGGTGGTCTTTAATTGCGTAGTCAGAACGCCTTTCACAAAGTCGGAGCAGCGACAAGACTATTTGAACACTTGTGGCTTCCTCCAAAATAAACTATGAGTAATGTAGCCAATTTGTCGCATGATCGAAAAAAATAGAATTTAGAACCAGATGATTCAGCCGTTTTTTCAGCTTTTTGTTTTAATTTCTCTTAAAATTGAAATTTTTTACAGTCAATTTATTCGGTCAAATATCGACTCACCATGAACTACGACTACGCAGCAGCTAATTAGGGCTTAGCCAAGGGGAGAAAATATATAAAAATATAGCACACTCTCTTGCGTATCATGTAAAGAAAATTTGCATTCACTTCGAGAACAGGATTTGGGTCCAATGGTTAGGTGATTCAGAGTATCTGATAGAAAAGTAAATAGTGATGACACAATATTTTTTTCTGATCGTTAACTTGTTGAGTGATATTACCCTTGTTAACTTTTCAACCTTAGATATGAGCATTGAATTGATAGCTAACTCCTGAGTTCGAAAGTTCCACAGCTAGGTAGACCGTACACAGAGTGACAATTATGACATAAAAAAAAACAATCCATACTCGAGTTTTTTTTGCGGATAATGTTTCCATTCGTTAAAAGGGATACTTGGAGACTAAGCTTTCTTTTTAATGAAGAAAAATGATGTTCATTAATAAAGTTTGAAATTCGAACATATTAAACATGGCAATATGTAGTCTGTCAAAAAGGTAACGCATTCATGTGAGACGAGTCAGGTGACTTACAAAGTTACAACAAAGTAATTCTCAACAAGTCAGCCTCTTCCCCTGGGAGGTCAGCATGCCGTTGCCAGGGGCGAGATTTCAAGCACGTGAATAGCATGATAAAAATTACTTGTTCGTTGCCTAATTGTTCTACAGTGCTCACATCTCGAATTGCAAATATGCCCATGCATGAACGTTGTATTGGCTTAAAAGCCACACGGTTTATTTCTATAATTTAGTAAAGAGGTGTATGGAATGGTGTGTTACATAAGCACACGAAAAGTGCCAAATGCGAGTACCAACAGGTACGAAGAGCGAAATGCGTAGGAGTATCGGTAGATACGAAGAGCGTCATGCGTATGAGAGCCGGTACAGCTTTGAAGAGTGCCACATCTAATAGTACCTGCACATTCGAACGAGCAACAGTAGGTGCAATGGAGGGAATCAGTGCGATATGAGATACTATCCAACAAATTGATGGTGCTAAAATCTCGGGTTGATTCGATAGCTAATGTTCTTATTCTAATGTAGTATTCAACAAGTGATAATTATGAGGCAGCAACAACGAAATTGTAGGATGGTATAGGTCAATGCAACACATTAAGCTAAGCATTATTGAGAATGATCTCATTGCCATCAATGTGATTTGTAGTGGGAAGGTCCTTCGGTCGAAAGCCATATCATAGCTCACATAGATGAATTCTTTTGACGATTTGACGTGTAACATGGAAGCCACAGCTCCTTTTCATCAATGCCTGCCTCATCTCCGCTATACGCTGATGTCTCATCTGTGGGCAGTACCTAAATCTTGCCGCTAGGAGCGTGGAAGAGAGTACCTAAATCTTGCCGCTGTGAACGTGGAAGGCAGTACCTAAATCCTGGTGCTGTGAGCGTGGGAGGCAGTACCTAAATCTTGCCGCTATGAACGTGGAAGGCAGTACCTTAATCTTGCCGCGGTGAGCGTGGAAGGGAGTACCTAAATCTTGCCGCTGTGAGCGTGGAAGGCAGTACCTAAATCTTGCCGCTGTGAGCGTGGAAGGCAGNGGGCATGAACTATAGAAGATCAGTCGATGTGCCGCTGCGGGCATGAACTATAGAAGATCAGTCGATGTGCCGCTGCGGGCATGAACTATAGAAGATCAGTCGATGTGCCGCTGCGGGCATGAACTATAGAAGATCAGTCGATGTGCCGCTGCGGGCATGAACTATAGAAGATCAGTCGATGTGCCGCTGCGGGCATGAACTATGAAGAGTAGTCGATGTGCCGCTGTGGGCGTGAAGAGCAGTCGATGTGCCGCCGTGGGCGTGAAGGCAGCCGAAGCGCCGCTGACCGGTGTCGCTGGCCAGCGGTCGTTGCACTCGACGCGCTTTGCGGCGCCATGACAGACGAGCCCTGCAATTCGCCACCTAACGATTTACAGAATTTAAATCTCCCGACGTAAATTGATTTTCCCGTATTGGATAATATCCAGAAAATAGAGTACGGATCCTTCAGAAGCTTTAGGAATGTCCAAAATTAGAATTAAAGAGATAAGCCCATTGGCAATTCTCTCTAATGTTTTAGGCAATCGCAAAAAGAGCACCAAACCTTGCAGTTGCAAGTCTTATCAATTGATGCTTTTACACATTATGAGCTATTAAAGCCATTTTTCGCTTATAAGCAGTTATTATGCCACACTCATTAGATGCACGGTGAATTAATAGGAAACACACTAAAAACCATTAAGATTTTTATGACATATTTAAAATCTTTTGATAAAGTCACATGTTGTTATTCAGTCGAATATGTCAAACAATATTTCTGCTAAGCAAATAAGAAATATTGATGAAAATTACACTTCTAAGTTCATCCAATCATGGTTAAGACTGATGAGCGATCCGAACGTTTTATAATTTTGTAAGTTGTATAAAGATGAGCAGATTAAATACGTCTCGTATCTCATTGAATACGTGCTGACATAATAAAAGTTATACTCACAGTATATCTAATTCTAATGATGGATTTCGTACATGATTACGGCCATGACTGTATAGCTCCGACACTACAAAACTACAGAGGAATGAGAGCCGGAGCAAGGCCGCGGTGAGTCGCTTAGTAGACCAAACACTCGTGACGATAGCGCTGCAGGCACCTCGTACGGCGCCGCAGCTTCAAGAGTTCCGGTCTCAAATGACGGCTACATGCATACTGACCAAAAACGAACAAATCATGAGATACTGAAAATTATATAATGCAGAATTTTTTGTAATATATTTTGATCATATAATTGGTAGATGTTCAAAGGGAAACGAATCCATATTAATGCAGGCAGAAGACACCTCATTGATGTTCACCTTGTACCCCGAAGATATGATATAAAAGTCATCACTCACGGGACCATAAGCCTGCATTGAATACATCTCATTATTTCAGAGACGCTGCCAACAAACACAGCACTAACAAAATCACGATTGTGTTCCGAAGTCTCGGTGTTATTTCTGTCATTCTAGACTTTTTTTCAGCAATTATACGCATAATCAGCAGCACTGCTATAACGTCAGCGCTCGACACTACATACACTGCCCACTCTGTGTGGTTGCGACGGAGACTCGTTTAGCCTTCGTTGGAACGTTTTTTCCAAAATTAATTTCCGCCAATTACCACTAATTTTGGTCAGGCATGTAAAGCTTCCGATGATTATATAGCATAATTTTTCTGAACTTTCTAATCATAGACAAAATTTAATTTTGATTTGAAAATTTGTGAAAGATATTGTAATTACCGATTCCATTCAATGAGAATTTTATGAATTTTTATGTTGCCTGATCCAAGAAACAGGACTCGGATATTATCAAAATATTATATCTGATAGAAAATATCACGAGATGAAGTGTTAGAAGCATTAAAGTCATGATTTTATGCGAGAGTTCAGTGAATTCGTGTAGAGTATTTGAAAAATATTTAACTAACGAACCCAATTCATTAAAAAATGTTTTGCTTGTAAAAATTACAATAGAATGAATGAACGATCTCCAATCTATATGAGAGACTAGGTAGGCCAGTAGGTAATATATGATAGGTAGCGAGTGGCGCCGCTAGTCCCATCTCGTGTCTGGCATAACTAATTATCATTCTTGAGTTGTGTTGTAACGCTAAAGATCTTCCTTCACTCGAACTGCCGTGTCCATAAATGTAGTCACAAGAATGTCGTTCACGTCTAAATGAGCCTTGGAACCCGACACACAACCTTGCTTCCCATCCGCTTCACAGAATAAAAACATTTGTAGAATAAAAACTGGAAAATCGTGATACCCAAAATAATTCAATTAGAGTAGTCGAAATTACAAATGAAGCCAGGTGAGTCGCAGGTAAATGTGATGAATCTGAATTTAGGAAAAACAGGACAACCACAACTATAAAAGCAAAAAAAGTACAACATTACCAAAAAATTTAAAGGGTGACAAAAAAGTTATTATAAGGAATATATATCTTCGAGTCAAAAGGCTATACAAAAAGAGCAAATGTAAGTACTCCCCAACAATGTATCTAATTTAAATGACGAGAAAAACGTTTATATAACTAAACTTCATCAATACCATGTCTTATTGGAGGCAAAAAATTGACACAATTGAGTTGGAAGTTAGATGCCTGCATTCGTAACCGCTGCTACCATTTAGCTCGTGAGCATCGATAAAAGACTACGAATCTAATCTAAATCATCCAGATATCCATAAGGAATTTGATGGTTGATAATAGGACGCCAGATGGAGTCGCTGGCGTCAGCTACTGTGTCGCGACAGTTCCGCAGGCCTTATTGAGCATCCTTTAATGGCTGGCAGGTGGACTGTCTACGTTCCAACGGTTCCATCAGCGACACTACGTAAACGAACAACTCTGTAGTCTACCACAGACAACTTGGTACTACCAAGTTGGTAGTCTACCATAAATCAACCGGTCGGTAATCTAGCATAACGGGCAGCTTGGTAGTTACGTTCAAGACCATGCACAGTATACCCGGATCGTAAATAAGGACAAATTCTTCTTAACTCCTCTGTTGGCACCAAACGAGTAGCGAAATTAATAATGTCTTTCTCACTTCAACCACAAAGATCCAACGGTTGTGGTTTATAACGCTTCCAAGTTCCAACGTCACCGGCAAATGGCGGCAATACTTCAGGCATCTCATATCAACAAGTAGGAAACGAACCGAAATAATACCTATATTTATAAACAGTTGAATCACAATTTTTTCAATAATGTCAATTTAATCAAAAATATCAGAAAAAATCCTTCCATAACTATAGTCAATTAAATAATAAATACATTTAATATCGAAATATATTTTACCACAGTTTGCTTCATTTCATCAACTAGAAAAGATTTGAACCTTTTATCAATAACATGTGAGGAATAGAACGATGAATAATAATCACAAGTTAAATATATTTAAAGTATAAAATGAAGAAAAAGTGCTAAGAACCATGCATCCACAAGCACTAAAACCTCATGAAGTTTTGAAAAATTATTCCATTTCTCGACATATGTCAGTCCGCAACATAATCAACAGAAACTTTTAAACTATGTACACAGTACACTTCCCATGATAGTACTTCAAGGCCAAACATCGAGGAACTTGTATGGATGAGTGAGCAGGATGAAGAAATTACAGGAAGTATGAAGGCTGAGAATGAAGACTGAGAGTGAAGCCCCCGAACGGCGACCTCGGCTCGAGAGGTCGCCATGCCTGGCGCCGCGTCATGCGCTCTCGACGAGATCTTTACGACCGCGCCGCATGGAGACTCTCTTGCTGTGTAAACCTCAGCATTACAGATAAATACGTTCAAGTATTGAGGAGGTTTTAAATTTATTCGAGCGAAAAGGGAATCTAGAAGTGCACGCTTATTGAATACATTAGGAAATAGGTTAATAACACAAAAACTGCCGATCGGAAAGTTTCCTAAATTGCATGAACACGATTTCAGTCCATGGCCCATAAAACATTAAACACTAACAACCCTACACCAAATTTAAAAAAGACGTAGCCAAAACAAAAAATTACAGTTAGAAGTCATGGATGCCGGGAAGTGAATCAAACTTTTTCTTGAGCTTTTATCTAATTGAAGATCAGTTTCTGCTCACTGCTTATGAGTTATTCAATTTCGTCAAGTAGTTTACAGTTTGGTGCTTTCATTTTGCATTAAATAGAATCTTATTCAATAATTATTGGTTAAAATTAATCATAAAAATCTACACATTCAAAATCCCTAAGAGTTAGTGAGCCCTGTTTTCATTGTAACGCAAGATGCTGTAGCTCAAAGGCTGAAGCCTTACTAAAATTACTCAACGCTGTTTTGAAATCAAAGCCACGTCATCTCAAAATTGTTTAAAGTTATGGCATCAATAGAATAAAACAGACATACATTGCGAAGAGAATATCTCAGTTTAGGTTACGGACTTACCTATTATTTCCCGTGAAGCTTATATTTTTGAGGTGAATTTCAGGAAGCAACGTGAACTAACAAGCAAGCTCCTGGAGTATCGTGGCACGCACAACTGCTTGGGCCGTTGCACTCGCAAGACTGACCGCTTGCTGGGTCTGCTGGGATCGGCAGTTGACTGACGTTTGGAGCCGCTGCTACACCCGATAGTCAGACTCAACAGACTTCTGTCCTACCACCGACAACAATTTTAAAGGCAAACTATACAGATCAAACAGTAAACACAAGCCCGGTGACTAGTCAGAAAAACAAGTGGGCTCTGGAGCGAAACCAAGCCTTTCCACACCGACGAGCTTACCTGTACATTCGTTCGCGCCTCGCAAGGTTTTTCAAAAGCATTAAGTTCTTTTTAGCGCATTTTCTCATTTATGGAAAAAATGCACTATTGGGCTCGCCATGTCCGTCTGTCCGTCCGTCCGTCCGTCCGTGACCTCAAGTTTTCGTCGGCGAGAAAACGCGCTCTCTGTCACTCACTGCAGTGAGTACTGAGTTATAATTTTTTACTTGTACTAAAACAATCCTAGCAATCTAGACAGGCCGAAAATGCCGTTCAAAAGCGCAAATTTTAAAAGTTACATGCTCATTTGTATAATAGACTGTCGAGTCTCTTTAATATGTCACCTTAACATCAATCTTGATTCAAAAATAAAATTAAAAACTTCGAAATACTTCAATTTACAAAGTGATCAGGAATTGCGTGTTAGTTTTGGGTGTACAGCAAGAATCTCGATGTTATTGCAGAGCAACAGATGGGCCCAGAGTTGCACGGGATAGATTGTCCCTCCTATTTCAGAATCTAGTGACCTCGAAGCCGCTAATAAGAATAAAATTGGAAATCAAAGAAAGATCTATAACAATTATCTGTATGCCAATAAAATAAAGATCCGTTCAAACTTAAATTTTGCTTATAACACAAAACTTCCTTAAAAATCATGTGCCTAAACACGAAAAAAATTATTTTACGTTTTTTGAATTCAATTCATAAATACCCATTCAGAAACAAATTCTAAACTTTCAGTTCAGTCTTTTATCCCTTATCTCTCAATGCTTTAATATTCTTCCACAAAGAATGCATTTTCAATTTCAAATGATATTCCGACACGATAAGCCCTCCTACAGCAGTCCAATATATTCAGAGGGCCAGACTTCAAACACACTCACTTTGACTAATATATATGAGATAATTTCAACCAATTATACATAATCTCAGATTTCAAAACTCAATATCATTCTCTGCAATGTAAATTGCACAATGAAATAAGGAAAAAATGCTATAAATGCTGTATCGTTCTATTGGCTGTATAAAGCTGCTAATTAGCTTAAAAGTATCTACACTGACCACGAGTTGACTGTGCTACCCATAGTTGAACTGTGCTACCTATGAACAGAGTTCCATGAGACAAACGAGTTTGCTTGATTTGGTTTGGATTTAAACGCGACCCATTGTTAGCCTACTTCAACTTGTTCGTGAAATGGAGCAGCCGAAATGATACTGATTGTATGATTATCTGTGCATAACGGCGTTGGGATAACGGTTCTGTGCATAACGGTGGGGACTAGGGATATTAGAAGGTTAGAAAGCAGGTAAAAATGTAAAGCTAGCGTCAATAACACATTCAAGTCGCTACTCAAAAGGTACTCCACTTACCTCGCCGCTCGTCACTGTAAGCCGTATAACGGTATAATACTGTGGTCAAGTGGTCAGAACTACGATCGGTAGGACTCGATAACCACATGATGACTACGAAGCTGTTTTGTGATCATGTTAGTAAGGCGTGATTTCGTGGTTTTATTAATAAAATAGATCGTTTCTATTGAACGCAGGCGACTTTGTGCTGTGGCGACGTTATCGGCATAGACTGTAGCTGGCATATTGAATTCCCCCAAATTCCAAAATTATCTTGAGTTTCGTGAATTAAACATTGAGCCCTCTAAGTCTATTAGGAACTTTAAGAGTTAGTAAGATCCGATTTAATGTTTTAAGGTAAACTCGAGAATTCTAAAAAATAATGTCCTAAAATGTTGCCCGAGTGCCAGACAATCTGAGTTCATGTCAACAAATTGTAAACAAATGAATGGGGCGACAGTGGTCTGATCACACGGGGCTGAGCTGACCGAATCGTTTGAAATTAAACTAAGTAAGTAGATTTCGAACTTAAATCGCTTATTACAAGCGTAAATTATCATAAAAGACTCAATTACTGCTTCACTTGTATATTAGAGACTAAAGCAAATGATCAGTCCAAATATGTACTTATTAAGCTGTGGATTACTTGAAACCATTTCCAATAGTTATAGATATTACGATGTGATCTGAATTGATTTAAGTACTCGATTGCAAAATATCCCCATTAATACTCAATATGAGAGAGAAGAAATAAATATTACACAATACCCATGAATAAGAACATTATCGCACCAACTTTTTTAAGAACCACCAATGGGCCAATACTGCAATAGTCGCGTGAACGAGTTTCTGTTGATTCGTGATTCTTTTCGGCTTTCCCTAACTTCCATCTAGGTAGGCGACGATTGACATGAATTTTCCCTCACCAAGATGTAAACGTCAATGCTTGTGCGCGAAAAAAGTAGCTAGGATTTGGACGCGATCCAAAATACAACAGAAATGACATCTGGCACATGTGGGCGCGGAAGTATACACGGTTCGTGCTCCTGAGCTGCATAACGACTGTCGCCGCCGCTATACCTAGTACCAACCTAGCTTGCTCCCCCTACTGTTTTTCTACGCGCTCATTTTCAGCCAAACGCTTTTTATTTTTAGAACACTGACATGCGTTGCTTCTTTTGCACACACAACCGTGCCTTCAGGCGTTTCATTCGCTTGACGCGAGTTTGAGTTATCGTTTTCTTTATTTTTTTACCTACATGCATACGTCGACACTACGAAGACATGTTCGCACTGGTTCAATAAACAGAACTGCTCTCAAATTATAATTTAAAAAATATTCATAATCTATAAACTCTAGTTGATTATTGCATTCTGTCGCCTGCCCACGGGACCTTGATTTTTATTCGACTTTTTTCAAGATTCATCAATAGAGAGTAAGTTACCTTCAAAGTAATAATATGCGTTTAAAAATTGCTTTTTAAAGACAACACTTTTGAACAATCCAGTATCTTGGATGTTACACATGTACAATGAATTTCTAATTTCATTTTCAAATATTGAAAAAAAAAATTATTCTTCAAATTTTTTTAAGATATCAAAATTTTGTAAATTTTAAAAATTATTTATTCTGTCAATTGATTCATGCATTGTCTCTGACTTTATGCAATTGTGCAAAATTTCAGATCAATTGGACAGGGTCAATATGTGTCATATGTGGATTATAAGATTTGTAGGAGACGAAATTATTTTTTTTATTTTTTAATATTGAAAAAAAATTTTTTTTAATTTATAAAATTATTTATTCTGTCAATTGATTCATGCATTGTCTCCAACTTTACGCAAGTGTGCCAAATTTCAAATCGATTGGACAGGTAGAAGTGTGTTAAATATCGATTATAAGATTTGTAGCAGACAGACAGACAGACAGACAGACAGACAAACAAGAAGTGAAGTTAAAGAGAAGTGTTGTAATAAAAAGTCGTTCCCGTATATTTGGAATTTTGGAAAACAGCTTGAACTAGAATATGTGTGGCTTCGTTGCGACGTCGAAGACGATCAATCTCCGGTGCATTTCACTTATTGGGAATAAAACACAGCCGCATATCTTGACATATAATTGTACCTCATGCATAAAATGGAACTTCTTAGTTAGATAAACAAATTTTGATCATTAGAGATTGGGATTAAAAGAATTATGAGAGTAATTCTCCATTGCACACGTTGCAGGTAGCGAGCCGCCTCAACAGTATATATAGGGGCGGAAATGTTTGTCTGACACGGAATGAAGATCTGATGCGCGCGCGTCTGGCTCCACCGTTTGCACGTCGCATGCGAAAGTAATCTTCGAGAGGGCAGGAAAGACGTGTCTGCATTTCCGGAAGTGAAGGGCACGCATTTATTTTGGCTCTGACTGCCTGTTTATCGGGATGTTCTTTGTGAGAAGATCGAGCGTTGGCGCCGGTTATTGTGAGGGCGCTGATCAGAATAGAAGTTCTCCTAAAATGCAGTTGAAGAAGGAGTCTAGCATCAACTTTCTGATGAGTATCATCCATGATAATTGTTCTTTGAATGTGAGAAATTTTAAAATATTGGATATTTTCCGTCCATTCCCTCTCAACAAATTCACAAGATCACGAATCACGATCATTAAATTAATTTTCCATGAGTGTTTTTAAAGAGCATCTGGCTAAGTAAATAAATGGAAAAAGTTTCACTTGCTAAATTTTTTTCCCATCTTCAATTGGGTGCGGGAAAGAAATTATCACATGTTTCTGAGAGTTTATCTTTGACCAAAATTATCTCCAAGTCACACGTCGACTGTCGATGTTACAAAAAATATCCTTAATTTTAAAATGAATAAACTCACTTTCAGAGCCGTCTAGCCTCTATAGAATGATGATCGCAAGAGTGTATTTACTGCACTGGGTGATGACATCACTGGCACGCAGTGAGTATATCAAGCCTCAGCAGTTGCACTCACATGCCGGCCTAGACGCTGCCTTCTATCTTGTGGTATAGCAACTTTCACTCTCAATCATGCCTATTATTGCATGATTATTGGCAAGCTTTCAATGGCCGGTGATTTACGATGTAGACATTGAAATTGAATATTGTAAACATCTGTATGAATATGATAGCGTTAATATTCACAGTAAAACTTTGCTTGAAAATAATGTGGGATAAAAATAGAATAATTAATTAATTCTCATTTTATTTTTAGTTTATTATCATTAATTTAGGTTTCGATGGTACATACGGTGCTGTGAATAAATTTTGTAAACTATTATTTATCTAAAATGTATAAAAAGATCAGAGGATAGATAAAATGGTTTTTAGCTGCTTTTTTTTTATTCGTTCACACAACAACAAGTCATTACATTAAACATTAAATCGAATGTTTCTAAATTAGTCAACAATTCAACACAGATATTGTCACTCAAAGAGGCCAAGTATGTCCTAGATTACAACAGAGATAGGGAACAGGATAGGCCTAGCTAAGCATTTCATCATAAGCCTTTGCAATTATATAGGAGTTGACTGTTATATCATTTATTAGGACTGATTCTACCTTTCTGCTGTTACGAGGAAAACTTGTAGAGATCGGTGCATTTCCTTGATGTTTATGCGTCATACAACACTTGAACGACTATTTTCACTTTAAATTTGGGAGCAATATGAACGCAGAGAACACTGATTTTAATCGCAAACATTATATAGCTGATGTCAATAAATGACTGTCTTTGGCATTTTTAAAGTTAATATGTGATGGGAAGATTTATGTAAAGACCTACAGACGGAAGAGCCTGATTTGATAGTATTCACATTATTTAATATTATTAAAATATAGATTTAATAATCTCGCATTATCAATTATCCCTTTTTCATTAGAAGCTGGAATTCATGAGGAAATTAAATCGATAATATGTGGCAAGCAGTGGTTGTCTTGACAGAATTAACTTTATAAAAAAGTTCATATGGAAAATTAGAGGCCGATGCAAAAGAAGAATGCATTGCAAGTTTTGTGTATTCAACTTGTGTTTCTTTTTCAACTTTAATCTTATCGAGCACATCAACATTTCTACTTTAAATAAGTAATTTTTAACAGATTTATATTAAAAAATGTTTAAAAACAAGTTTATTCCTTGTTCACTCTTTACTAATTTACCTGCACTTACACTCATCCAAGATGTTTCAGTGAGCCTTCTTCTTTCTACTCCCTTCCAAATATAGTTTATATAGTTATATAGTTCCCAATTTATGTAGACGAAAAAAATACTTAAAAGTCCATAAACGTCCTTACGATCTTTCGAAAGAAATGTCTAAATTTATCGTAACAAACTCAGCACAATTATTTCAAGTATCAGCATAAATTCTCTCTGATGTATTTAAATTAATTTCGGAGTTATGTGGTTTTGTGCTTAAAACTATTAATTAACTAACGAGACATCCGAAACAACCGAAAATCATTCATATTCTACTAGTTATAAAATCGTTCATTTTATCCCACAATTGCTGATTTATATTCAAATCTACGATTTATCAATCGTGTCTGTACATTTTCAAGCGACTAATAAAACAGTTTCTCATGGGAAGTTTCGTCAATAAATAAAAATGTAGAAAGAACATATTTCCATCACTAATTGTACAAGACGGGATGTCATGATAATTTTTCTTAATCCTCGCGTACATTCTTAATGTTTAATTAATTATCATGGCCTCTTCAGCAGATGGTTTTCCTGACCACGACCGTAATTTCTTGCCATAATACTACGAATCGTTACAAGAAGCTCCAGAATTTGTGACACTCTTGAATCTAAACGCTCAGTAGAAAAGGAACGGCGTCTTCATTTTTTGATGAACTACGAAGTCGTATCCGCGTTTTCATCCTTCCATCAACAAATTCGTCTTCCACTCAACTATTTTCCTTGTGTTCAGTAAAAGAAAGAGATGTCTATAGTTACGACAAGAATTCGATGATTGGCAATAAGTTTACAGATCCAAGTACTCTACTTGCGTAGCACACATGGCCCCACAGAACGAGAAAACTGCAGCTGCGATAACAACAGCGGCTGTGGAGCCGTAGGCTGAGACAAACGACCCCATGCACAGAGCCTGGATAAACTGCGCCAGGAAGACCATCGATGAAACAATCGCTACATCCGTACCAAGCCCGCGAATTTGTTGACAAGTTGTTGATCCATTTCCTCCTTGATCAGCAGACTTTTGAACATTTAGTGTTGATTTTTCAATCGTTTGGCTTCTCTCGAATCCAACCTAGAGAAATTTGAATCAAAACTCCATCCATCATTCAGTCATATTCTGCACTTTTTAATATAAAAGGGATACATGTTACAGAAAAGGTACAAAGTCACTTTCTTTGCGGACAGTTTTTGTGAGTAATTCAAATATTAATGTCGTATTGACTAGTGAACTCACAGTTTGCGTGGCGTGGTAGTGAGCGACGAGCAAGTAGGGCATGGTGAAGAGGGTGGAGTACATCACCCCGGCTGTGGTAGACAGGACGATCACTGCGGTGCGGGTGGGGGTGGTGGCTAGCAGCACCATGCCCAGGCTGTACACGAGCTGGCCACACACGTATACCTTCCGGGCACTAACCGACATATTCAATTACTTCTAACGTGATTCATTCTATTTTATACCAATTGTTCAACATATTTATTTTATTTGACACTAATAATATGGCGTCGTTTTGTTATCATCATGTTTTCTGATTTTCTTTGTTGTTTTCAAGAAAGGCTGATTACACATCAAATTAATACAACTATTTGTGATTTTGGTTGCTCGCCATCAGAGGACATTCGAATGGCTCTGTTAATCTTTTTATTCTTGTCATCGCTGCAGTTCGATTAAAAAAGGACAAACGAGATTCTGATATTGAGGGAGCGTCTGGGTCCCAAAAAAACTTTTTCATTTACGGACGGATCACTTTAAAACTTGTTACATAGATGTAAAACAAAGATCTAAAATTTTTTGTTCGTGTGAATTTTTCGGAAAAATGAACGAAAACGTGAAATTCTTAGAAAACGTCTAAAAAGGGGGTACTGTAGAAAACTATCTGCTCCTAGGATTTTCAAGCTACAACATCAATACGCATATCATTCGACGCGTAAGGACCATATCTATTGATTTGTCGTAGTTTTTCTCGAAATTCGAATTTTTGTGGGTGTGGGGGCCTTTTACGTAAAATTTTCGAAAATTTTTCGATTTCCCCCATTCCCCCCCCCTTTTTTAAAAACAAATGTCAAAAATATAACGAAATTGAAAAAACTACGACCAATCTCTAGATCTTTTATTTGCGAATCGAATGGTATATCTCTCATTGCTGTAACTTCAAAACTGTAGGAAGAGATAGTTTATCAGTGACAATAAGTGTCAATGTTCAGTAGAGCCCGACAAATTCCTGTGCGCCGCGAAATCGGCATTCAAGGTTGCATGGATGCAAGACAAGACGATACTGAAGCTTAGTTTCTGTCAATGATAGTGCGAACGACGGCGCGCGAACCATCCCACACGACTGCAGAAGGGTTACTTGAGCAGAATGTGTGAAGACTGAAGACAAGCTATTTAAGGTGCACTGCGGCAATGATTCCCATGTTAAATGGTAAAGAACTCCACCACCCCTTGCCCTTTCGCGATCTGTCGTGAACGCATATATCAACGTACAGAGATGGTTTTGGTACCAGGATGGATAGGGCAGGATGTCATCTTTAAGATGAGACTAAAAACCGGAAACGCCAAAATTGTCGATTTTGGACCCAGACGCTCCCCTAGAAATAGAGCAATTTTTTAGATTAAAGACAGTATGTTGATTCAGTTCCTAAGTTATTGCACTACGGCAGAATTTTGCATTAAGCTAATATATGTATATTTAACACAAATAATCGTATTTACATTAACGCTTCATATTATGCAGTTATAGTTTCAAACGTTCAATTTCAAATCTAATAAAATCACAGTGTTTAAAAATTAAAAAAGTTTGTTTCATCGAGAATAGTTGAACTATTCCAAATTTTGAGATGAAGACTGCAGTAGCAGCATCTCAATGACAGTATTATTCGATATGTATTTCTCTATACCTTAACGTATAGTTTAAATGTACAGTGAACAATTATGATACAATCAATATAATTGTCACTATATTTCTTACTAAATGTACTTAATTAAAGTATTTTCTCCATACAAGATTATATTCACCGCTCAGAACGCCTATATGGGTTGACAAATATTCACAGCAACCATTTACTAAAAAGTTATCTTGCCGCTGTCCATATTTTCTATTCCATAAACGGTAATAATTGGAATCAGTTTCCCAGGAAAACAAAGAACAAATACCCAAATCTCTTGACGAGCTTCTCGATGACGAAGGAGTAGCAGGAGCAGGAGAGCGAGTACAGCGCCATCCCCCAGCAGCCGAAGCGCACACCCGCCTCGTACAGCTGCTGCAACTGCGACCCCTCCGGAGCCTTGTTTAGTGTGCAATGTACATGTCATATATCTATTATCTATCTTATTAAATAATAATAAATTCGTGACTTTACTTTCGTTTATGTAATTTAGTGTTGGAGCTTTGTGAGTGGTGTGAAAACATTCAAATATTATTAATTTCAAGGGTTTCAAGTGAATTTCAGTCAAAATTCTCTCATGACATTGTATACATAATCTTTTTTATATACAATCTACCTTCTGTATAATCAGCATTTTTTAAAAATTGACAGTTCATATTTCTCTTTATATGAAAAGTTGTCTATGCAAGAATTTGTGGGAAGCTTTGTGGGAAGCTTCCACACCTTACGTCAGAATCTCCCCCAAACGCAGCTTCGCCTCCATACCCCAGGGTCTCCCCCAAACATAGCTTCCCCTCCTTACCCCAGGGTCTCCCCCAAACATAGCTTCCCCTCCTTATCCCAGGGTCTCCCCCAAACGCAGCTTCCCTGCTTACCCCAGGGTCTCCCCCAAGCACAGCTCCCCCTCCATACCCCAAGGTCTCCCCCTCACAGCTTCCCCTGCTTACCCCAGGGTCTCCCCCAAACACAGCTTCCCCCACGAAGTCAGTGAAGTAGAGGGAGTAGCACACCAGGGACATCCAGCAGAAGAGGTTCGTCAGGCACAGCACCCGCAGGCTCTGCACTACGCAGTCTCAAGTCAGTGGATGCTTCCTCAACAATTTTTACAGTGGTCCAGAGGTAGGCTCTATAATCGTTTAATTTCTTATAACGTCGAAGAATTGGTTTCGTATTTATAATCTGAATTATAATTGGCAGGTGAGTATTATTTGGCAAAAATTTACAATGGAACTAATATGAGCATCTCGATTTTTTATTGGTCGGGTTCCAAGGAATTTAAATAAAATTATTTTAATCTAATTCTGAGTCACTAATGTTTTGGGCAGCATGGCTCAACGGCCGTGCATGCGCTGAATCCTGCCTGCAATGTAGCTTCTTGATAAACGCGTGTGGGACTTGAATTAGCGCCACAGATGCAGGTATTATTTTGACTTTAAAGGCAAACGGTCCCCCCAGGTAACAAGTACCCAGAGTTCGTTCAGGGACACCAAATCAGGGCCATGCTGCAGCTTAACCTTTTGACGGCTACCAAGCGCCGCTCTCCAGCGACACCGAGAAATTATCTGAGCTAGCCAAGGCTCGAACCCACGGCTAGCTAATCTCGTCGCGGTGCCGCTATCACTGCACAAACAGAGGCACTAACCACTTCGTTACAGTGGCGCTAACCGCTGGGTTACAGTGGCGCTAACCACTGCATCACAGTGGCGCTAACCACTGCATTACAGAGGCGCTAACCACTTCGTTACAGAGGCGCTAACCACTTTGTTACAGTGGCGCTAACCAGTTCGTTACAGTGGCGCTAACCACTGCGTTACAGTGGCGCTAACCACTGCATTACAGTGGCGCTAACCACTGCATTACAGAGGCGCTAACCACTTCGTTACAGAGGCGCTAACCACTTCGTTACAGTGGCGCTAACCACTGCGTTACAGTGGCTGTGCAAATATTGAACTGAATGGCCACATACTGTGCTGGTCTTAAACAGAATTAGGATGCATAGAATATAAAATAGACAAATTTCAACAAATCTACTTTTTAGAATATTCATGTTCTTCATGTTTGCATTGTTCACCCGAGGCATGTAGACAATAGAGAGCAGGTATTGCTTGAGTGTTGCGTCAGGAGCTTCCTCCAAGATGGCTTGGTCTGGCAGTGACTGAGGACTTTTTTGTGTTTGCGTAGTTTCCTGCGGCGTCTGTGAGACAGAAACTGTTTTTTGAAATCTAAATGTCTTGATAGATATTCCATATTGACTTATTCATATACGTATTTTGCCTTATTCATATAGATGTTGCCTTATTCATAATATGAAAAATCCAGTTATTTGTTAGAAAAAAAAAATTTTTCTAAAAAGTTAGTGTGGGCATCCCAGTTTTGATTGCTGACGCTTGCTCAATGGCCCAGTAAATAAATGCTTGAACATTATAACTGTTTTAACTTCACACAATATTTAAACATTATAAATTAGCTTTATTAAAAATGAAAATTTCCGAATTAAATATTTCGTAATACTCATCTGATTGTCGAAATTATCCATCTAATTACCTGCTCGAAAAAAGATGTTTCTTTGGTTTGGTGATCATCGTTGCTGAGCGTCTGATATGCATTAATGGTATTCTGAAATGATATGATTTAGACCTTTAACATTCATCTTCGATCGGTCATATATCTTGAAATATCTACACCTTGCTTATAACAATGCATACTATGCATACTAATATGCATACTATTTTGCACATATAATATGCACACCATTATATAAGATCATTAGATATTATCCTGGTTGCACTGAGCCATGAAAATTACGTCCATTTTCAAGCGACAACAGCTACGACCAACAAAACATACGTCAACCGTAGATGTTGCAGTAATGCCATCCATCGAGGTAGAGACGCTCCCGTAGACTTTAGGTAGAGCTTTCTGCTCACCAGTTAATCTGGACTCCAGAGGCACACACTCTCCCAAGTTTGTGTCCTTTTTTGTGAAGAAATTTACAACTAAATTTAATCTGGGACAGAAATATTATTCGTACATGAAAATGAACTGCGGCATTGAAATGCAGCATTGAACAAACATATTTTCAACTAAACCTCAAATGATAATGCTTTTTACATTGGCAAATATAAACGAATAAAAGCCAGGTGACTTATCAAAATTAAATTTGGAATAATTGATAACTTATATCGTTGTTTAGTTACGTTGACATTGAAGAGTTTGGAGACGGAGAGTAGCCTGGCAAGAGGGATCTCCTTGAACGCGGTGATGGTGCACACAACGCACACCAGGTAGATGAAGAGCACCAGCGTGAACACCGCTCTGATGTGACCGCCGAATAACCAACCTGCATTATTGTGCATCAATTGTGAACAATTAATTAAATATTTTATCATTCGTAGTGCTTCATGAACGAAGAAGTACAATTAATTCGTTTAGAGTAAACTAAAGCTGTTATGGAAAATTTAGTAAGGATGAAATAATAAAGGTAATTCAAAGTAAGCGTCATCATATCACATGTACGGCTGTGTAAAAGCTTAGGTGGCTTTAAAATATACGTGGCTGTGCCGCCAGTATGGCTGCCCCGCAACACGGAATGACATGCACAGACTTGATCAATTATCACCCTGTACTTGAAGATCAGCCACCATACATTGATGAATGCAGGAATTAAAAACAAATATAATGAAAAATATGTTGCGAAATATCACAGTACATTTGCATGTGAGTGTTGCATCATTGTGCAATAATTTGAATCTTCTTCTGAATAGCTACGTCTTGTACCCATAAAATTCTCAGGTGTTAAAATTACAGTTTGAAATTTTTTAATTTAAATCTACACTTGCATCGTCCTGGCATACACAGGAAGACTAAAATAACTTATAGAATCACCAATAAAGTTGGCATCCCAGTTGATGGCCCCCATGACGTAGCCGGTGCTGCCCCCCAGGCCCGCCATGATCGTGAACGTTGATAGTCCAACGCCATGGTCCTCTGCGTTAAGCACCATTTTAGGTTATTTTGCACGGTCATAAACATGAAATGAAGAATCTTTATTGTAATGACTTGACCTTCAACTAATTTATAAGTGCAAGGTGTGACAAAACTGACAAACAGTAGGACAGAGAACCTATCAGTGCTTGTTGACAATTATTTGAATAATTGCAAAGCTTGTCACGTACTGATAACTTGAGCATTCATTTGAGCCTGGCTAAAGAGTTTCACGTACGTATACAAGCAAAAATTGACCGGATGAGCCACATTAAAAGAACAGTTTCTTCTATACCGGACAAATGCAATCAAATACGGATTTCATAATGTTTTGGGACAAATGTGACGACTCTTGCTGATTATACTTGTTCATGGTGGGCATTGAATATCATCAAAGTTGCTGGTGATGTACCATTTTTTTAACGATTATATGCCTCATTATTTTTTAATTATAGGCATTATTTGGCAAGTGAGCGCTACTGGTTGGGGCAACTTCACATTGCTCCACGGGATATACCCTAAATTAATTTACAATTGAAGGCTTTACATTTGCAAAAAGTTCCAATAGATTTAGTTAGTACAGGGACTTGGTCAATAAAAAGTAAACTTTTTACGTTAGCTTTTATTAATCTTGCCATGAAGCACTCAAAGTATTGGACTCTCGAAAGGAATTTTTATGATCTATTATATAGCTCATATAATATTTGCCGAAATGCATGCAAATTTAAACTCATATAATTTGAGAAGATGTTTATTCATCTTTCTGATGGTGCAACTGAACAGTAGTTACAACAGAATAAGGAAAATATTCTAGGTCGATGAAATGAGACTTGAATCTCCATTGTTGTGATGTTGTGATATATATAGATGATTGGTTGTGTCGGGTTTCATTTATCGTGGTTATGACATCGTGGTTATGTCGTGTTTTATAGTGTAATATTCATCGGAGTAACGGAAACAATTAGGAAATTCGAGTCCATTGAAATCGTAATGATATACTCAATTTCAAACTTAATTTGTTTGTTTTGGGGAAATAATATCATGAACTGAACCTCTAATTATTTATAATATAATGTTGTGACAACATCAACATAACGGCAGGAAGCGCCTACTGGAGCTTCTTGAACATTCTTTGAAAATTTGTAAAGCTCGCCACTAGAACTCAGTCTTTTCATGGAAAAATATGTGTATTTTTGGAGAAATAATAGCGCCAGCCATTTAAAATTCAGTTAATTAAGAAATAAGTAAATTATTTAAACTTAAGTATTTTTAATGTTGCGCACTAACCGAAAAGAATATGTGTATTTTAAGATGTGTTAATTGGTAGTAGTGTGAAGCCAGCCCACTCATTCATTTACATTTTAGATCATCTGACAAGTATTTCAATAAAAGAAAGATCGCACTATACCGAGCTAATCAGAATTAAATTAGCACAGAGAATTTAAAATTAAACTGAGGCGAATTATTACTCAGAGTTTGAGACTTTAATGGTAAATGTACATGTCAAAGCATTGACCGTTGCAACACTGCAACTGTAGTTGCAATGCAGTTGCATTTGCAATATCGCTGCAAGTCGCTGCAAAGAACTGGAAAATTCATTCTCGATATCGCCCCACTCTAAATTCTATTATTGAGAAGAGGCAACATTTGAAGTTAACTAATTTCATGGTTTTGAAGTAATGTCATTCACCTGATGACTGCTGCTAGAAGGCTAAATGACTTTGAATCGAGAGGTTAAGAGTAAGATCGCTGTACCACTCGAATTTATAAAATTTGAATAATTATTTTGAGCGTATATTTTCTCTTAAATGCTGGTTAACGTACCAGGAATTGTGACGTCCAGAAGATAAGCTCGGGCGGGACTCTGACAGGCGTCAGCATCGAAGTCAAGTAGAATTGTGCCGACGATGGTGAAGAAAATGCTCCATGGGTGATGGTCCTGACCTCCTGGTGCCGACATGTTGGCTGGGCTCGATTCCCGATCATCTAGAACCATTATAATTTGTATCAGTAATATCTTTTCCAAAGTGAATAAGCTTATTTACTTTTCAAATAATGTATTGATGAATTTACTTATATACATTGGATACCTGCAGCAGAAAATCTTACCATAACAAATTAAGCTTTCTGAATACACTTATTCATCTAAAAGTTGATGATGATAATCAATTTCATGTGATACAAGTTTAAATGCTGGTTGAAGTAATTATGATAACCAAACGCACGGTAACTTTATTTCAGTCAGAAAATTAGTATAATTAAATCGATAATAAATGCGTATCTTACCGAACTCAAGCTCGCGTGTCACAGCGTACGGGCTGGTCCAATTGGAAGCTTCAGGCGTGTTGAGCTAAACAAGGCAATCATATCAAATTTCTCAAATTATTTGTCCTTCGATCTCATGTGCCTTATAAAAAGTTCGGAAGCTACGCCGTAAGGTCAAATTTTTATTTGTTTATTCAAAAATTCATTTGCTGATACAAGGTGCATTTGTTGGAATTATATTAACTCTATATATGCGAATTATTACAACAATACAAGCTAGTTGGGTATCATCGATCATAAGTAGAAAGATCCATCAGACCTGCAATAGAAGCAATTAGCACCAACAATAATAAGTCTAGCTAAAATATAAGAGTAATCAAGATTCTGTCGCGACATAGAATCGTCTTGCCACGTTTCTGTCAATAATTCATTCCAAAAATCATCAATTCATTTTTATAGAACTTTCATGAGGATATCGTTTGATTCTTTACGGCTTCCCCGTGAGCGTATCACAGCTTTAAAAAAATCGTTTATGTTTTCAGTTCAGTTTCAGTATGAATATGTTTTGCTGAATAAGAAGTCCGTCTATGAATATTACTGTATCTACATCGACATCAAATATTGTGTTAAAATTCTAAACGATCATGAACACAAATATTCATAGAATATTTTTGCTGTATGACTCACGGGAGGCTGGTAGAAGGTATCGCCCAGCGCTTGGCCCATGAGCTTCCCGTTAGGTACCAAGATCAAACCTGAACAACAGGAGATAAAATCAACTACTTATTCAACGAACTCGATTCAGATAGAAAGTGAATTTATTTTTCAACGAGTGCAGGATTTTAATTAATAACACCTTTCACTTTTGATTTGAAAAATAATTTACTTTAATCTGGTTATTTATGCATTGTCAGAACAATTTTGTAATGAACTGTCAAGTTATGTTTCATGCTATGACAACATTCTCAAAATTGTCTGTCGCCTGGATTTCATCATGTAATTAACTATAAACAGAAAGCTTATGAACAGATTCAGTCACACATAATTAAGATCAACGTTCAATATTAACACTTAATCTCAAACGATTAATTATGCAAGATAGCTCACCGAAAATTAGTCCTATAGATAGTAAAAGAATGAAAGGCCTTCTCCTGCCCATGCTTGACTGACATCTGTCGCTGAGAGAGCCCAGCACGGGCGTTAGGAAGAAGCCAATACTGGGGCTGAGGCACCAGATGAGCGTCATGAGGCTGTGGTGAACACCGATCTTAAGGAGGGTGGGCGAAACAAAAGCTGTTTCTGCGGCGTAGCAAAACTCGATGCCCATCACGGCCGCTGATATGCGCACCATCTCCAAGCGACTTTTTGGTCTGTCAGGGAAAATATTATGTGAGAACAAGTGCAAATTTTTAACATCTTCTATAGTAAAGCTTGTGGTGAGATTCTTGGCAGAGTAATAAGGTAAGTTTGTAGAGAGATATATACGGAACTATAGAATAGAATTTAGTATTTACGACTGAACGTGAATTTGGAATACAATTGGCAGGAAAAAAATTGAGGAAAATGGCGATTAGCATCCGAATCGAGAGCATCCGAAAATCTTAAAATTTCAAGTTATCTGCGAAGTCTAATTAACTGAGTTGTTGCACTCAATAACAAACAGCTTTTCAAAATTGATTATAGGAGTGACCTGCATGAGGAAGCAAGCTGATAGTTACATTTCATAAGGTACTTAACTCATGTCAATTAATACCAAGACACTTTCAAACACATGACTGTAACTGCATAAACAGTTAAACACTGCAAGACCGTCAGTATTTCACGATTCATGCAAATTATTTAGGTATCATTTCACACACGTAGAAAGATTTAGCTGCATTCCGCTGCAACTTGTTTTGTTACGAACAAAACCTGAGTAGTGGTGATTATATACACGAATACAACAAATCATTCTCATCGAAATGGATGAGAAAATCTTTAGCGCTAAATTAATATTATGAAATTTGATTATTTATATCAGTAACGGATAAACGCCGAAATACACACAATAATTTCTGAAAGTCAGTTTTCTGACCTTATCGTGTTTATTCCTCAATTCTGCATAACTACTCGCTTTAACTTGTGTAGAGAATTAATGGAAAACTTGTAATTGAATAATGTAGGGTCTGATTAATCAATCGTATTCCTATAAAATTTTTAGCACGAAATCGATCATGAGACAAATTTCTCAAAAAATTATCATCTGTGTGAACAATTGTATTTAAATTTGACTCCCAAAACAATGAGTGGCTTGATCTTATCTTCGAGCCTTAATTTAATCGGCTTTGTGAAACTATAGTAAATTTAAACATAAAAAATATATACTGGGTGGAATATTGTCGCGTCAGGGCAGAGCAACATTAATCATCCAAAATCGAGAATACGTATTATATAATTTAAAGTTTTTTTTAATTCTTTACTCAGAAAATAACTTATGTAACTTACTGCTGTGCTGCATCTAAATGATCAAGGCCTGCGTTACGATAAAAAACATCAAGTAAGCAATTGATGACAATCTCTTTTTAAAAAGATATATAAGGTAAGGAGTCTTACTAGGGGCACGCAAGGGTAGTTGTTAAAAATGAAGTCAACGTCTAGATCTTCCTCACAAGAATTACAATAAGTCTTCCAAATTCTTTGTGACGTAATATTAATTTGCTGAGTTTACATATGACCATGCGAACAATGAAGAAACTTTATTCGTCCGTATCCAGTCTACATGCGTACGCCACCCATCATATACTTTCCACCACTAAGCATTGCATCATAGCATCCCTTCATATACACCCACCAGCGTCTGAATTATTGTACTCAGCGTACAACTTTCAGTACTTGAATAGTTAATTAGAGTTCTACGGCAGTGTTGCTTGAAACCTGCCTGATAACTCCAGGCCATGGATATTGTAGGCTTTTATATAACGCATAAGTAAGTATCTCAATTACTATTTGCAATTGTCATGACAAACAATAGACAATACTGATTCAATAATAATAGACAATAGACAATCAATCAGACAATACTGATTGATATTAGTTTTAAACTTAAATGATTGTTGAAAATTTGACCTCCGACTCGACCGAACTTGGATAAAAAGGAACACGAGAATAGAAGTGAAAATTAAGTCACTAAGTTCAGACAAACATAAGAATCATACAGAAAAACGGCCCTTACGCTATGCTTGCGTGTAAGCACATTTTCAAAGTCTTCAAGCTACTAAGGTTACAAATTCAAGCTTCAATTTAGAGTAATTTGACTTCAAAAGCCTTTTGTATTAGTTTTGTTTGTGGAGAATCAATTTTCAGCCAACCGTCATGGGGCCGAAAGGAATAATTGCCTTTTTCGGAGAGAGTTTTTTTTTTCAACTTTTTGGGGGTGAAGGGAATAAGTCTGAATACATATTGATGGATTTTATCATGATAAAGACTCTCGATAACCATGCCCATAACCCATGAAATATAATTATTGCAATTTGTTCTCAAGACCGGCAGCATGCTACTAAGCTACAATGAAGAGTGCACAGCGCGCAAAAAAGTCACTAAGTGAATACGACAGAATCGGAGGAAAAGTGCACTCATGGCGAAATCTAACTAATCCTGCTGAATTAGAAAGTCCGCAACTCATATTTTATCGTGTTTATGGAGAGGCAACCCGACATGAGTATTTAACAACAAAAATAAAAAAACCTAAAATAAAAATTTAGATGAAGCTTCGAAAAGGGAGTTATATATAAGATAATTCTATACTGAATGTGGGATAGAACAGAACTTTATCTTAGGAGCATATCTTTAGCTCGAAAATCGGCAACGAGTTTTGGGAAAGCACGATGTAAAATTGGTGAATCCTCTACAACAGGATTTGCGAGCATCAGGAATCATCTATCCTGGGCAAAGCCAGGTTGGAATGTTAGTATTCTGAAAATTTAAGGTGTGATAAATTGTAATACGCATACCAATTGATCTTAGGTGGCGGAAAATCTTACTCGTTAAGAGTGGGGAATGAATAGGAAAGATGAGGAACCACTGACAAGGAAACTGTAGCGATGTTTATAGCCCATCATCTCCAACTCTACTTTTGATTTAAAACCAAAATTGAAACGGTAAATTTGGTATCGATCCTCTGCATGAGAACAGTTGGATTTTTTCACGTCCCACAAAGTTTTTCATTTATGCTTCAACTCACAATACAATATAATAGGAGTATGGTTCATAGGCATTTATTCCGCTCAAAAAATTGAGCTAAATATGCGTAAATTTAAAAGCAAACTCTGAGCCTCGGACGATCAGTTAGTGCGGACAACTTAATTACAGCGCGACGCTGATGCGAAAATTCTTTATCGAATCCTTATCGCTGTCACCGCTCAATCTGGCTCTCCCTGGCCTCACATTTTTCTGAAAAAAACCGTCTCCGAAAATTATATTTTGATACAGAATAAAAAGATTTCGAATCATATTTGAGTTAGATGGGATCATATGCATGATAAAAATGACATTTTAGCAAGAGCTTCAAGTATTATGAGTATGAGGTAAACAATTTTTTATTGTGCAATATATATTTGAACGTAAATGGAACAATTCTGTGGCACGTTCATTCCTAGAGCATATTTTCATTCCGTGGTACAATCTATATGGGTGTCAAAAGAATAAATTTGTATGCAGTCGTGCTATGAAGCTCTCTCTTGTCAATTAAAAACCTTAAAAGAGAACGCATTCAAATTCGAACTTGTGCAATGCGAACCTAAGTTATTTTAACAAAAGAATATTGCAATTGAGTAAAAAAAATTATTTTCACCCGCTTCCTTTGCCAGCAAAGAACCTGAATGAGGACGCTCAAGAGGAGTGAAAAAAATCACAATCAAGAAGTTAGAATTTATGGAACAAATTTCGACTCCCAAATTGCCAACTTAGTCGCTTTTCGAACCGCTGTAATTCGGGTCCAAATTAATCAGGGCCCAAACAAGGGAGGTGAGAAATGTGGCAAAGCGTCATTCCCATACAACATTTGGGCCTCGGACCCAGTATGCCGACGGTTACAATCCCCTTCGATCGATCGAAGTGAGGTGCCGCCTGTTGCGTTTGTAATTGTTTTCTGTGATGGCCAAGATCTTGATTGCGGCAACACTCAGCGCTAAAATGTAGTGCTTTTCCTTTCCCCGCCAGACCTCCGTAACTTAATCGACCAACTGCAATGGTCGGACTCTACCAAACGCAATTCTACGTCCGAACCTTTCACGTTAACTTTTTTTACCACGCGAGTAGATATTTTCAGCTTAAAACATATACTAGGACTTATCTTTAAATCTTAGTTAATACAATCCTATCATATTTTCAAAAACATCTTTCGTAAGAACATTTTTATTTTTCACGATTCGGAATTCGGTTGATCGAAACATAAATTTTTGCCTTTGTCTTCTATAACTCTTCCATCAAGCAGCTTTGTATCGCTCTTTATATGGTGCTTATTTCATCACCGGCAGTATATAAACATCAATATGACAAGGTTATTAACTGTACGTGTACAAGTCTTCTTCCTTTAAAAGGTATATAGTTTCCTCGAATGCGTGCGTTTTATGTTATTGAATGCCATGAACAAATTTTTACGTTAATTTCGCTCCATAACATTCCGAACAACCATTGTTATGAAAAAATTTGAAAGTAAAAGAACAGCCTGCACCTGCTTGAAGGTAATCGGCATCGTTTTAAGTCTTGTTCATTGATTATTGAGTAAATTTAACGAATGATTTTCAACAGGTAAAATAATGCTTCCGAACGAGTTCCATCGAGTGCTGTTATACACCAACACTCAATTATTGTTTACTTTTATGGGCATTTACAGAAATTTAAAAAATCAAGCAAAAAAAGTGATCGAGATCCCTTTATTTTGTGTCAGAATTCAGACGGATGTTAACGCGCGGAATAGCGGATCCCAATAAATGCATGAGACTTTTCCAGCATTTATGATTACCTATGAATTTTATGTATGATTACAACGTATCAATTACATTTCTACCTGACCTTACCTAAATATGTGAGCGTAATCGCTGTCTTCTTGGTCATCTCCGAGGTGTCGTGCAGCGTTCTCACGAGCATTCAAGATGGTGGCCGCAGTCTTCCTCTTAAGGGCGGCCAGCGATGGCCGCTGCTCGCTGTCCTTGAGGTTCGCCCACTTCTCCCTGACCACGTTGCTGAGCAGGTGGAGGCCACCCGCGTACGCAGAGAGCTTCTCAGCGCCTGATGCTGACATCATCTTTTCCAGAAAAATAGAAACAATTGAATCATATTTTGTTTGGAACTCGTTTCGTTGAATTAAAATGAAATTAACTATAGTAGCGAGTGTTATCTGCATGATAAATTGCTAATTAGAAATATATAAAAAATTTTGACATACACCAAGAATCCAACTACGAACAACTATTTTTTTTATAACTCTTTTACCATTAGTATAATATTAGCAATTTGCAATAAATTGGATGTGTGGGACATATACCTCTTGTCACAAAAATTCTACATTTTTCTGATTTCAATTCCATCTGCGTAAATAGAATATGTATATATAGTCGCCCTATTTATAGTCGAAAAGCCCTCAACGGCCTCTAGAGAAAAGCCATCTACGGCCTCTAGAATAAAAAATAAAACCAAATCAGCCCAGCTAGAGATGGAAGTTTGCAAGTACTGCAAAGAGATCTCTCTGAGCGAAGTCCAGACAGTGACCTGTGAACGATGTGAAGATCTCATTTGCATCAGCTGTTCAAATTTGAGCTCTAAGGAGTACTCATTTCTCCAGAAATCTAAATTGCTTCATTGGTTTTGCCGTGATTGCGAAAAACCAACTCTTGGTGCTCGAAATTTCTCGCTTCGAATCACCGACATGTGGAACAGCCTCCCCGATGACATCGTTGGCGCTCCAAGTATGAACGCGTTCAAGAACAGACTAGATAAAGCTGTGGAAAAATATATGTTCAGATTTGAAATGCCTAGCTCCTTATCGAACCCGGTGGAAGTCTAGTAGCTACTTCAAATTATCGCCAGTCATGAAAAGATCCGGTCAAATGACACTATTTTAGATCTTCTGTGAACAAGGCACGAAAAGGAAAAGAATCGGCGACAGGCCACATCAGGCCTACACTTCAGCGCCGACATCACTATGTATGTAATGCACATTGTGATATAATATGTGGAGACCTATTTTTAACATGTGTTCCACTCCAAAGTTGAATGATTTTTGAGTAACCGGACCTTAGTGACATCGATGTTAAAATTTGATAATAACAACGAAATAAATGAAATTTAAATTAAAAATAAATAATGTTAAATGAAAACTAGAGATATAGGAATATAATGTCTTGAAAGCAGTCAAATGATAATGAGAGTTCCAGACTTTCGCAGAATTGTGAGGTGGCGCGAGAGGCCACAGCCAATCACTTCTGTGTCGCAGGCTCGGAGATTAAAAGTTCAGTCTGATGAAAATAATGGCTTTCATTTGGCCAAACGTGCCACTGAAAAATATGTTCTATGTCTTTGTGGCTTGAAATCAGTGGTGAATTACAAATATTTGTTTGTGATGGAAAAGAGAGTAAATCAAATGTGTAATTCAATCACCGTAGATTAACAGGATATGAAAATGAGCTGTAACTCTAATAAATTTGGCCATTGTTTGACATGAATGATTTATGATAGGTTTGAAATTGATGAACAAGTCGATGGCTTAGCTAAGTTTCTTGTAATGGAAGTGGATTAATTTGAATCGAATTATTACTCCAATTGAGTTCACGAATGTCCTAAAACATTGAAGAATATTTTAGTAGGATAATGTTATATAATATGTATAAATTAGCATAACAGTAACATAAAGACATAGTCCTAAGCCAGCTCATGTGATAAGCCAGGCAAGAGGACGTGGTCGTGGCTTAGTCGTGCCAGAGGCAAACAGAGCAAGCGACGTGCGAGTCCAGCCGCATATCAATAACAAGATTCTCTTGATAGCTTCGTTTGCACCGTGGCACATTCATGTATAGCAGGCTATATACATGAATACTTGAATTTTTCCATTAATTTCTCATATATTGAGTACAAGCAGCAAGAAATTATATCACGTCAAATTAAATCCATTGCCAGATTAATAGCAAAGGTCAATATTTTACTCTCCATTTCTTTGTTCGTTATTATTTAGATTTCTTCGTATTCTATATAATATAATAAAACTAATATCAATAATTTTAAATTAAACACGCAGTCTTATTCAAATCTTGCGCAAATTATTTCCAATGTATTAAAACTTTAATCAATTTATTCCTTCAGTGGGCGGCGAAAATGTGACGTTATCACCGTGGCTTCCTTCACCATCACAGCGACTGTCACACGAGCGTCCAGAAGAAGCTGTAGAAATGCAGCATACTTATCTCGCTCTGCTGCATCGATTGCCTGCCTGTACCATGTACGACCCCGTTGTGTAATGGTTATAGTCTATACTTCACAAGACTATCTAATTTTAATTGATTACTTTCCTCCGTTGCGTGGCAGTTGTCTTTAACCATTACACCGTTGTGTAATGGTTATATTGTCTATACTTCACAAGACTATCTAATTTTAATTGATTACTTTCACCCAGAACGGCACCGTTGTGTAATGGCTATATAGTCTATACTTCACAAGACTATCTAATTTTAATTGATTACTTTCACCCAGTACGGCATCGTTGTGTAATGGTTAGAGTCTCTACTTCATAAGACTGTCCAATCTTTGTTGATCACTTTCCTCCGTTGCGTGACAGTTGTCTTTAACCATTACACCGTTTGTAATGGTTATATAGTCTCTACTTCACAAGACTGTCCAATTTTTATTTATTACTTTTTTCCAGTACGGCACCGATGTGTAATATCTGTGGCTAGTCGTTCCTTCAGAACACATATAATTGGTCTCCTTAGGTTTGAGAAAACATCGTTCTGGAATGCTTTGTGGGAAAGCAAGCTTCATTCGCCGATTTCATTCTGATTGCTGAACGTCTAGTGATCCATCAGGATTGCCCGTTTATTGGGAAAAACTCGAACAATCGCTCACATTTTGTAACTCCTGCTTTACTTAAAGTACATAAAGACATTTTAAAATGAAAAAAAACTTGCACAAATTTAGATCAGATAATTCATGCCAAGAATTTTTGGTCAATTATTTTTCATGATGAAAAATTTTCAGCCTAAGTTAATTTTTTTCCTCCGTATTCATAACTCGTTCAGCGAACCTTGAAGCTCTGGTCAAAGATTGTACAATTCATCGCATTCTCCGTTTCATTTTGCTCTTCAAGTCAAGGTTCAAGGTAGTTTTCAACAGCCAAGCTCTTCAAATGATAAAGCCCCACAGGAAATATCTCCGCCCACACTTCGTTTCCTCTGCCTGAACGTATTTGAGAAGTTTCTCTCGTGAACCTAATTAAAAGCTTTACTTAGCTCGCGTTCATCCTTGCTTTTGCCGCGAAAAGTTGGAGGCAATAAGGAGTTATATCTCTTCTCCAGCGGGGCTGGTATGTCCCGACGGTGCCATAGTAACGCAGTGGCAAGTTGCTACGCGTCAGCAAATCCAATACCGCGGCTGAAGTGATGATCAGCAGGAGCTGATTGCCCTCCGTAGACAGGATTGAAGGGAATTTTCCCTGATCCAGAGACTAAAGTGGTTTTTCAGAGGCCTCGCTGCTGCATGCCGGGGCTTAGTATAGGTCGGCATCGCTCCCTGGTGGCTTCAATGATGCGGGATTGCTTCATAACGACGAGCTTGCCGCTATCATTACTGGGACAAAAACTAACTTCGAACTTTCCGTAATTTTGCTAGATTCTCGGTAGGGAATGAAAATCATATTTACCAACATACTTATAACATCATGCACTTAACGTAGGAGTTATTATACTTCCGGTATAATAATGTACACTGGGCATTATTATACCGTACGTAGAAATAACAAATATATAGATGAAAATCATACATTAATTAATTAGAATTATAATGACACAAAGAACCTAAACTGAGTGATTTTTAAATTCTGAAAACATTCGATTTTTTGTCTCTTAAAATTATAAAAAATCTAGCTCTCCAATAATCTTTCTATGCGTATGATAATGTTATTAAGTAGCAAGCATTTTCATTGCCATATATTAGCGTGATCATATTAATTGTATTAAATGTTATCTATTCATTCAAAGCAAACTTGGCGATCTTCATTGTGTTTGCGATGTGTTACCGTCTAAAATAAAAGCATGAAGTATTGAGTTCGTTATTTGTTAAAATTCTCCTAATGCTTACTTCTCATAACTATGAAATCACTCTCGTTCTCGTTTCATAGTTTAAAAGTCTTTATTATGGCGTGCAATGAAGTTCACGCTTTTCAATATTAATTAATTATGGAAATATAGTTCTCTTATTAGTGCTTTTGTAAGTTCATCATATGTATGGTGCAAATATTTCTGGCTGGCATGCATAGCCCCAGCAGGCGCTTGTTGTCATTTCGCTTTTTCTACTTCAAGTCATGAAGGCCTCTATTATGTCATAGAGAGACGTGTTTTGTGCTGAAATGCTCAAGGTGCAAATAAATCAACCTTTTAGCTCAGTTAATTCCTAGCTTCTCACCTTGTCAGATTATTGAAGTGAGCGCTTAAGCTATTAAACACAATAAGTGAAGTGATTGCGTAAGCTATTTAACACGATAATTGAAGTAAGCGCTTAAGCTATTTAATACAATAATTGAAGTGAGCGCCTGAGCTACTTAACACGTTAATTGAACTAATCGCTGAAGTTGTTCACGGCACAATACTTGAAGTGAATGTTTAAGCTTTTTAACACAATAATTGAAGAGAGTGCTTAAGCTGTTCAACACAATAATTTAACTGAGCGGATAAGCTGTTAAACACCATAGGTTTGTTCTCTACAAATTTAAAAGCGAAGAAAATTCTACAAAAATTCATATCTCTACAGAAAACATTTCGGAGTCCATCTCTATCGTCAGTTCGCAGAATCTAGAATTCATATAAAAAATCACAAATTAATACTATTGAAAGTCACAGAACCAAATTTAAAATCTAAATATACAAATAATAGACAGAGCACAAAAAAACCTATCTATTCCTATCTTCAAGTGGATAGGAACTAAAAGCTGACTTCAAACTGAGCCTAAGCTTAAAAATGAACAAGTATTCTAAAATACGCAGATCTGAAGTACCGGAGGTGGAAGCTAACACCCTGAGGTCACTGTCAGAAATTAATTTATGATTTTTTATATGAATTCTAGATTCTACGAACTGACGATGGAGCTGGACTCCGAAACGTTTTCTATATAGAGATATGAATTGTGGTTTATTTTCTTTGTTTTTAAATTTCTAGTAAACTTGCGATTTAAGCAAACAAGTGACATCAATTCTTTAAAGTTTGTTCTCGTGTAGGTTTTGGCATCAATCTTTGATTTTTATTTTTGGCCGATCCATTTTATTTCACTGAACTCAATTTTCTGCCACTGGATCAAAGTGGAAACTTTGTAGGTGTTAGAGATAAATCCTTTCTTGAAGGAAAGGATCTGTAAGATGAAACCTAAGGCGACGATCGATGGACATGAGGTTTTTTCGAATGCTTTATATATTACGCGTGATATATGATGTGAAAGTGATAGAAATGCCTTATGCAGACTAATAAAGCCAACTTATGAGGAACCATGAACAAATCATTCAAATAAGATGCCGTTTTCTTCTTTATGTCGGAAATGTCGACGGAGTCCGTAAAACATGAATGAAGATGCATTGAGATCAAGTTAAAGGAAACCTTTAAATTCATTAGAGTAATTTAGGAAAAGTTGGCTTTTCAAATCCAAACTTAGTGAAAATTAAGATAAGGAAGCTTAATGAAATATTAATTCGAATATTGGTCACTGAACCCAATAAATAACATCTTCTTTATATAAAATTGAGCTGAGAAAAGCTGTGGTTCTTGGCCCTTAAATCCAGCTAAATATTTGAAAATTTGACCTAACATTTTGACTACATCATGAAGACTGATGAAGCAAACGTGCGGCATGCAGCGCAGCCGGAGCGTCGCAGTGGGCGCTATTGTTGCGCCTATCAGCAACATCGCGCGCTCGAAGCGTTAAAGCTGCTCGCTCCTCCAGCGCCGCAACCTACCACATGCCATTAAATTTAGGCCTGAAGCGGCCTCTAAGAATCGCTTCAAACATTTTAATTTCTCTTAAAATGGTCTTTTCGTTCATCATTACCGATCAGTTAATTTAATGCATCGTAGGCGATGTTCTGAGCAGCCTTGACGTCTCACTGAGCTGGAACTTCTTCAAGTATCAATTGCATGCATGCAGCCTTCAACCATGTCTACAATCCTTTATTCTCTGGTGCCTCCACAAGACCTTACATTTGCACATCTAGTATTTGTCACTAGGCTCTTTCTTACAGCCTCGGTCTATAAATTTGAAACCGTTGTAATTTTTAAGATTTAATGAATCACAGTTGAAAATAATGAACCGCGAAAATTAGAATTTCGACTACATGGTTGAATTACTTCATCTTCAGAATTACTTCATCGTTGATTACATTAAAAATTATTCCGGGCTATTGAACGCAATTTTCTAATTTTTCCAACTGACCAATAAAAATTACAGCCGACTTCAAGAGTGCACGTAATATTATTAGGATTACATATCTCAGGTGAAACAGTTGTGAATGCTTGACCTTCAGCAATTTGAATTATTAAAATTTGAACTATTATTGAATTATAATCAGTAAATGTTCTTCTTTACTTTATTGTAATATGTTTGATATATTCAATTAAATACTCTGCTTGTATCGATTTTGGAATCCGGTTAATGTATATTTAATAATTACACCGATGCTCCACATATTAACCATCAAAATACATATGACACCGACTATCGCTATATGCTCAAACGGATATGAATTTTGATTCACGAATGAAACTTTTTTTCAATATTATATTTTGATGATTTCACAGCTACTCTTACTTTTTGCAATCACGTTGATTCACTAAATGACACCAACTCAATTTTGTCGGCCAAATTTGCGTTTTTAGTCAAAGAGGTCAGTTGTGGAGATTTATTTTTCAATTAATTTTTCCCTAATTGTTATGAGTGATACGAAATTTTTGATTCCGCTTTCGAAATCACAAAGAAAAGTACCATAAATAGCGCCATCGATTGTCGATTGCCATTTACTGCGCCAACCATTGCTACTCAGTGTGCATCAGGATACATAATTTCAAAACATTGTACAACTCCAAGTCAAGAGTATACAGTATGGAAGAGTACTATAACTGAAGTCTTTAGATTTGTCATTTGTATTAATTAATTAAAGGACTTTCACAAATTTGAGGAAGTTTGTAATTTTTGCCTTTTATGTCAACAGTTGTTCTTGTCATGTCATTCGCTATTTTTATTAACAATTTATTCTAGTAATTGTTAGAACAAAAACAAAATTGTTTTTTTTTTTAAATAATCAGGTTTGACATCAGTTGAATTTTATTTTTCATAAGTATTTTTTATAACAATTACATTTATTGAATAGGATATTTCTGTTAAAAGTGTGGTCAATTGAGTGAATACATACATAATTGTCAAAATTGATCAATAAAATGTGTTCGCGTTTTTCCATGCGATAAAAAATCCCCCATTTTTTGTTAACGTGGTTTGCAATATCATTTATGCAACAGTACTCAAAGTCGAAGGTTATCAGGACACTTTACTGATGAGCAGTGAATCGGAGAACATCATTGCAAAAGTGTCAGTGAGTATGCTTCGCATATTTTTTTTACAGTTAGTTTCTTCGTAACAGCTTCAGATTTGGTGAGTTGAAGATAGCTTGAATTTGTTCGGAAATTCAGTAAAGGAAGTCATTAATTTAGTCTTTTGAAGATGATATCACAGTAATCAGACAGATATGATATCACAGTAATCACAGTAATCTGATGCAATGCTCATGGAAGTGCAGCATTGGAAACTTCGGTCGCTCTTGCAATAAATTACGAATTCCAGAAGACAATGGAATCAAAATTCACAACGTTGAAAAACAAAGATCCTGACCTTTTCCATTTGTGACTAATACAAAAACAGACTATAATGAATCTAATAAGTACTTACACATGAATGAGCTGGCGGGGTACTGATGTAGAGCGGAGCAGCGCCGGCAGGTGTTGTCTGAAGAAGGGCTGAGCAGCAACAGATGGGGCCTAGTGTCTGCTGGTAGCTCGGGGGCCTAGGCGCTGTAGGCGGGGCCGCGCTGCGTCATCGCTTGTCAATGGGCCTCGGACAGCCAATAATAAACATTCAATTTCCAGCCTAACACCGTCACAACAATTAGAAGTGCCATCATTATTTAATGAGTTCATATAAAAAAAGTCTTGTCAAGCGCTAAATTCGTATTTTTACTCTCTATATTTCTAAGGCTCGTGGAGCTCTGCCCACTCAATATTCCTAATTTAGGGCATCAAGAATATCAACATACACTTTAGTCTGCCTTAGAAAAACTATCCGAGATATTGTCTTATATCTTTTAAGAGATGAGTGTATAAATTGGTTTAAATTAATGGCTTAGCAAGTTGCGAAGAAATTCCCGTCTGAAGCAGTTCACACTTCACATTATAAATTGAGTAAAACAGCCGCGTTCGCTGGACACTCAGATCTTAATTGGATGGAACTACGAGTTGAAGAAACCAGCTGATTTTTGCTGTGTCTTGGTGTGTGCTAAACAAATCTAATCGAGAAATAATCCTTAATGCACTGCAGTCATCATCCATCATATTTGCAATAAACTCTGTTATTAGTCAATTGACTTCGAGATACTCTCATTAATAGAATATTAAAGTGAATCGTACATTAAGGTGCTCGAGAGTAGGAAGCTTGTGCAAATTGCGTACAAGTTTATTAAATTGAAACATACTCGTCTTTTTAACACTATTCACCATATGATGTGGTTCAAATCAGTTACAGAGATTCATGAGTACATGACAGGAGCACGCAAACTTTTGAACAAAGGGCCGCAAGAAAACTTGACGCCATCCTAAGGCAGCATCGTTTTTACATAATGTACTTTCAATTACAGTTTTGCAACTATGTATATACAAGGTTATTCTCAGAACTTCCTGGTTTGAAAACTCAATAAAAGAAGAACTAGTAAAGATTGCGTTAGAAAATTAATTTTATTGTAAAAGACATTACCCTACTTTTTGCATCACATAGTTTCAAAGATGAAATCGGTCAATGCAGCAGGAAGTCGTTTTTATAATTCAGTTTAACTAGCTTAATCATATAGACTGGTATTGACCTCATCTCCTTGAGAGGTGACTTTATTATGTGTTTATCAATTGTTTACAATGACTTTCCAAGGACCCTACCTCATCTGAAGGACAACACATATAGTCAAGCCATCGCCAACATGCCCGTAATATGCTTCACCGAGTTGAACCGAACTACAAAAATCGACTAACTGAATGCATCGACAATGGGGGCCGTCATTTGTCCGATGTCATCTTTAAACAAAGTGGTACAAAAATTAGGGTAATGTCTTTGCAGTGAAATTTATATTGTGATATCTTTTCTAGTTCTTTTTTTATTGAATTTTCAAATCAGGAAATTTCCGTGAATCATTCTGTAAGAATAAACGACACTAACAATGTATTGTCATTTCTTTCATATTATCATTAAATTTTAAATATACACTATATACCAGTTGGAAATGATATTTAAATATTTTGAATTATTGTCAAAAAGTTAAATTATAATTTTTAATAGTGGGTATGTAGACGAATGTTCATGATGAGCCTAAAACCGGCCACATGATTTAATACTTATATCAAACGACATATGAATCGCCTGATACAAATATGGAGTTAGTAGTGTAGTGAATCCTTTATTTTCTAAACCACATCCGAACGTTGAAAGCGATCTACGGAGGTTTTGAGGCATCCAAGGTACGTAAACCTTACGGTGAGCATGGCATACAGCACAACGTAGAAATGGTTCGTTTTTCTAATCGAAGTCAACAAAACCAATTCAAGAATCGAGTTTGTTCTACATTTTTATTCCCACAAACAAATATATATGGCCATTGTTTTCTAAATTTATTAAATTTACGGCTATTAGAACTAGTAAGCAACATCTAAGATTTGGATGCGAACAACCCGGCATCTGGTGAGGGATGAAGACGTCACGTACCAGCAAGTTTATTGACAATTGTCATTCTGTTGTCGGTATATCATAATAGAAAATCATTTTATATGCTTTAAGTTACTTGCATGTACTAAAATACCTTACTTTATAAAAAATAACAAAGAATAGTTCACAATTTATAAACGCATGCGCCTGCAATATAATTAATTCATTTTGTTAAATGTATATTATTATGCTCTTATCTACAGATAGATAACATTTTTTGTACAAGTGAACAATATTAAGTCTCTTCATACATAATAAAAACAATTTTAACAGAAATAATAAATTGACTATTGGATGTGGGTGAATAATTGCAATCAATCAATTGATTTCACTATCCTACATTCAGCAGCATTATGTGAGCTGAAAGATGATTGCAGATTGATTGGATCTATACTACCATCTACAAAGGGATTGACTGGGCAAGATTTAACGATATGTTTGAAACCGTTGATCTCTACCATCACGTACCCAACTGCGTAATCGTGCAGGGGTTGACTGTGTAGATAAGAAATACAACAATGGAATAAGGAGGCATTCAGGGCAAGTGCATATACCGTCCAGTATGAGGGGGAATTAGCAAGTCAATACATTTAATATCTACAATATGGAGGAACAAATTAGCGCGAGGAAACGTCGATGTTATGGGAGAGGATAAGTTGAGAATGACAGTCCAAGAGTAATAATGGCCGTCTACAACGAGGGAATTACAGTCCAGCAAGATAGAATCACAGTACAGAAAGATAGAATCACAGTCCCGTAAGATGGAATTACAGTCCAGCAAGATGGAGTTAAAGTCCTGCAAGATGGAGTTACAGTCCAGCAAGATGGAGTTACAGTCCAGCAAGATGGAGTTACAGTCCAGCAAGATGGA